TCTAGCCATAGGACTGTAGATTTAGAGGTGGTTGTCTAATCCAAATTCTCAAGTTTTTAAAATATTTATTTAAATAGGTCATGAAACCAAAGAGAGATTGTGACATCCCAAGTCTCACAGGCAGAGCCAGGATGAGAGTGAAGTTCTATTTCAACAGGTTTTTCCATTATACCATACTGTTACCTGTTAATAGCCTTCCTCAATTATCCCAAACCACTCTGATCTCTCCTTACTCTGGGCCAAGAGTGCAAAACAAAAGCCACAAAACTTCATAAAATTAAAGGTTGTGTTGAGAGAGGTCTAGTGTCCAGAATGAAGGATAGCCCCATAGTCTTCGGTTTTGGGTAGATCTTGCTCTCTCTCCCACCATCTGTTGGCCTAATTCTTCATTTTATCATGGATGAAAGAGAGGCTTATAGAGGATAAGTGACATGTCCAAGGTCACCAGGCTAGTAAGCAGAGGTTCCAAGGCTCTCTGACTCCAAATCCCACACCTCTGCCCCTGCTGCTCACCTCCACTTTCTGAGCCAAATTCTCACACACCCTTACTTTATTACACTCTTGTCCTTTGTTTATGTCATGCAGACTTTTTAAATATTTGTTTATACAATGCAGACATTTTCCCACCAGAAATGAATGAAAAGTCATAGAGGAGCGTTAACACACGGGGCCCAATGCTTTATTCCAGGGCAGTGGAATTCAACCATGTTCACCTCCCACAGCCTGTGCTGCTTGGCCTCCAAAGCTCCCTGGACAGAATGGGACATGACACTGGTCTTCCTTGAAGGATGCATCGGGCTGGTGTTTGTAGCTGGGTTAGGCTCACACTAGCTAGGAAACTCTCAGAAAAGAAGGATTTGCCCTTCTCTAGCCTGGGGGAGTGAGCCGGCATGGATGGTGTTGTCTTTGTGGTTATGTCTGGACCACTTCCAGGCCTGTGCCCCCTACAAAGTTCAATCTTGGAGACCTAAAGATGAAGGTGGGAGTATCTGGGTGACTGACCAAAATAAGCTTGAATATAACAAAAAATTCATGAGGGAGGATCGTAGAAGAAAATGAGAGGAGGGGAAGATGAACCAGTCATATCAAATCAAAGAGTTTTGACTAAAGACCTGTTACATCTCCAGTCCTGAGCCTGGAGCTCAGAGAAGAAAGGCAAAGATACATGTATCCTTTGTGCTCAGGGACCTTAGAATCTAGCTGAGAGGCCAAGACACACACACAATCTAAATTTCAAAGCCTGTTTCAGCCACGGGACTCACTATTTTATTTTAAGGTCAAAGATGGACTTTATTTTACCATAGAAAACTGCAAAAGACACAGAAGATTTAAACAAACTCATATGGAAAATAAATTTCATATGTATGAAATTTATATTTTATATATAAATTTATATAAATATTTAATTATATTTAATAAATTATATTTAGCAAATATAATAATATAAAAATAAAATTATATAAATATGTTTTTATTTATGTGTTCACATATATGAAATTTATATGTTTATTATATATGTATATATATGTGTATATATACTCATATAAACTCTCCTCAAGAAGGAAATTGAATTTGGGGTTGCAAGTAAAGCAACTTTCTGAAGAAATTTCTCCCTCTTACTCCACCCACATATTTGACCCCCTCTCCCCATCTCTGCCCTGTCAGGCAAACCAATTATGGGCTTACTAAATAGGAAATCCCCTTCTCCTCAGACCTGAACTGTCTGAAAAACATACAGTGGGAGTAGAGCTGAATGTGTAGCTCTTTTATTCTCTCATGTTTAGGGTTTTTGTGTTTTTTTTTTCAAAAATATCTTTTTATTGATATCTTTTTTTTATATTGGCTAAATTTCCACTCTATCTCTGGCCCTTCTGGTACTCACTTTCTTAGCTGAGGCAAATCTCTGGGCCTCCATTTTGATACCTGTAAAATGGTAGTGATGATACTTACTACCTGAATCCCTTGAGAGGACTATTAGGAAGATTAAAAAAAAAAAAGAATATGAAATCCCAATGTGAGGTTTGAATATTATTCATATAAGAAGGGCACATCCATTTGACTACATTTCCAATGATGTGGGGGCCCAGTGAGTCACTGAGACAAGCTTCCAGTACCTCATTCCTCAAGAGACTTGTACTTTAGCACATGATGCAGTGACTTGATGGGTGATGAGGACATTTATGGGTTAAATAAGGGATGCCATGTGAAGGAGGGGCTGCAAAGGTAGAGTTCAGGAGCTCATGAGTCCTGCCCTACTAAGCTGGTAGAAGTGGGATAGAGAGGTGGTATTTACCTTTTAGAATATACCACCTTTGAACTCAGTAGTTCCATTCTAGAGCTGAGTGGAGCCTGGGGCTACCTTAGCAAATCATGCTGGCATGCTGATGCCTCCTTATGGCCTGGAGGTGACCCTGGGTTATCAAAGGCTATGCTAGCAAAGCAATTGGACAGTTAAATCAGCTTGCATTTATTAAGTGCCTACTATGGTCGAGGGCACTGTGCTAAGCACTGGGGATACAAAGAAAGGCAAAACTGCAGTTCCTGCCCTCAATGAGCTGACAGTCTACTGGGGGAATGGTGGGGTTGTGGTATCCTTGGGTTCTCAAAGGTTTTGCCAGTTACAAACCCTCATAAGGTACTATTGACCTACAAAGGCTTTGATTTGAGCCTAGAGACAGACTCAAGAACCATCTTAACTAACCATGCAGAGGTCTATCATCACAAGGACAGCTGCCAAATGAGGTTCTTCGGCCTAGAGTATTCACAAAGACCATCATGGTGGGGATCACGGAGTAGTAGTCAGAGGGCTGGATTTGCAGTTAGGAAGATATGGGCTCAATTCCCACCTTAGACATTTACTAGTTGTGAGACCCTGGGTAAGTCACTTAATTGCTCTCAGCCTCAGTTTTCTCAACTGTACAATGGGGATAATAAAATTTGCCACACTTACTGCATAAGAGTTTTTAGAAGATTGAATAAGATGTACATAAAGTGTTCTGCTAACCTGGAAGCCCTGCGTCAGTTACTATAATTATTATTATAAAGGCATGGAAGAGCTGCAATCCGGATTGGTAGACACAATTTATTTTGCTGCTGTTCAGTCACATCTTACTCTTCATGTCCCCTTTTGGAATTTTCTTAGCAAAGATGCTGGAGCAGTTTGCCATTTCCTTCACCATATCATTTTACAGATGAGGAAACTGAGGCAAACAGGGTTAAGTGAATTGCCCAGGGTCAAACAGTTAGTAAGTGTCTGAGGCTGGATTTGAACTCAGGAAGGTGAGTATTCCTGACTCCAGGCCTGGTACTCTATTCACTGCTAGCTGCCCCAGGGACAAAATATAATTCAACTAAGACTGGTGTACTGTGGGAATGAGAACTTTGCTAAGGTTGAAAAGGATGACAGGCCAGGTGACTTTTTTAAAACACATTTTCTAATTTTTGCTAGCCTAGGGACACTGTGAAGGCATTGAATGTGGGCAGGCACCCCTTTGAGCACTATTTATTGTAATGTGCCTTTCCCCCACCCACCCAGGCTGCTGATCCCTGTCCCAGCCTGGGCATTCCATAGATACTTGGGTAAGAGTAGTCTTGCCCTGGACTGAGGGAATGCCAGCTCCTTTCCTAGAGGCCAAAGTCAGTCTCTGCATAATGGGCTTCATTCACATCCAAGAGGAAGCAGGAGGGCCCCTGGCTCATTCAACAGCACCCACACTGCTGAAGTCCAAGTTTCTTTTTTTAGTTAAATAAATTTTTTTTTTCAATTCAATGGGCATAAGAATCAATTGCGTTCAAAGTACTGTGCAAGGGGGTCACCTGGAAAGGCAATCTTAATTTCTCTTCATCCTCCCCTATCTTGGGCTAGGGCTATCACAGATGTGAGGAGAAATGCAATGCAAGAGTCCTGGGGTGAGATGGAGGTTTTAAGTTGAATGAAGAAGTATTAATTAAGCACCTGCTATGTGTCAGGCACTATGCTAAGCCATGGAGATACCAGAAAGAAAGAAAGAAAGAAAGAAAGAAAGAAAGAAAGAAAGAAAGAAAGAAAGAAGAAAAAGAAAGAAAGAAAGAAAGAAAGAAAGAAAGAAAGAAAGAAAGAAAGAAAGAAAGAAAGAAAGAAGAAAAAAGGAAAGAAAAAAAACAAAAAACCAGAAAGAAAGAAAAAAGTCCTAGCTTCTAAGAGGCTCACAGTGGAATGGGGAAGATACCATGCAAACAGCTCCTACATATAGGATAAATAGGAGATAATCTCCAAGGAATGAATTAAGATTAAGGGTGGCTGAGAAAGAGACCTGAGGGTCCTCAGGGGCCATCTGGTCCTCTGTAATTCATTGCACTGTAGGAATGGCAGCCCTCCAAATACTGAAAGCCTGGAATTGCCCACTTGAGGAGGTAGGGCAAAATAAATACCATGGGCTTTAGACCCAGAAAGGGCCTTCGAGAAAATCTCGTTCACTTCTCCCTTTCATCAGATGAGGAAACTGAGGCTGGCTCAGAGAAGGGGAGCAATTTGCCCAAGCTCACACGGGTGCTAAGGAAGAGAGCTTGGATCCTGGCTCAGGTTTTCTGACTCCGAGTCCGATTCTTTTCCCACTCCTTGCAGAGGCCCTGTGTTTGAATACAACTGAGCGCCTGACTTTCCTCCCTATATAACCCTGGACAAATCCCATCTTTTCTGGGACCCTTCGCTTCTCTCCTCTCGGATCTCAACTTTGGAGCTCTGGGGACTTAACATTAAAGGCATCTTTCAGAGGGTGCGCGGGACCTCGGCTGGGGGTTAGCTTTCTGCGCCCCCCGCCCCTCCCCAATCTGCAGCTGTGCAGGGGAGAAGGGAAGTGCGGGCAGGGAGAGATGGAGAGGAGGGGGCGCAGAGACGCAGGGGAAGCTGGCCCGACGCCTGCTCCCCTCTAGCTCTCGGGCGGAAGAGGAAACGCGCCAGAAAGGGTTCTCCCAGGCCGGGGGTTGGAGCAGAGGGAGGGGAGAGGGATAGAGGAAAGAGGAAGGAGGGTGGGGACGTGAGGACAGAGGAGGCGGGCGGGGCCTGGCCTCCGAGGAGAGGCCGCGCCGCGGGCCTCCGCATCAGTCTCTGCGCCTGCTTCCCCACCTCCTGCGCGCTCTCCGCTCGCTCAACCCTTGGCCCAGGTACCTCCGACGCCGCCAGAGCCGCCCGTCCGAGCGACCAGGTAAGGGCGGTGCCCCGCCCCCACCGCCCCTGCAGTCCCCAGTGGGGGAGGGGGCTCCGGTTTGGAGGGCTCTGTGGGGATGCCGAGGCCCAGGGCCGTGTGACCTGGCTCTGGAGCCCGATCGGAGAGGGCCTGTGCCCTGCCTGCCCCTTCACATTGGGGAGTTTAGTATCTCATGCAGCATCCGGTAGTGGAAAGAGATCTTGGACTTAGACTCAGAAAATCTGGGTTCAAATCCTGTGTCACATTGGTCAAGTCACCCACCTCCTAGGGCCTCAGTTTCCAACTCTAAAATGAAAGATGAAAATGTCTCTGAAGTCCCTTCCACCTCTGGCATTGAGGTAGGAATCGGAGGGCAAACAAGACCCACCCCAGGATAAGTGCATGAGGTAGGCATGGAGCCTTACGCAGGCCAGATTGGGGAAAGCTTCATGGAGAAGGGAGTATTTGAGCGGGGCTTTTGAAATAGGATAAGATTGTAAAGTGTGGAAATGGAGGAATTCTCTAGAAGGGAAAGGCTTTCAGGGGCTCCTTCAGGCACCCTCAAATACCCGTCTCTATGCCCTTGAAGTATTTCTGCAGGTTGAATTTCTGCAGGAACTGAATTCAGTTATCTCAGCAAAATAATTGGGGTTCTTTCAACGGGTAGAGTAGGCTGGCCACCTGAGAGTATCCCCAGTACTTTACTGTGTCCCAAGGTAAAGGACTTCCCGGAGATGGGGTATTGAAGCCAGGCCTTCTTACCACCTAATTAGAGAAGCAGGTGAGACAGTTTTCTAAAATACCCTTTCCCCCACTCCTTTGGTCACACCCATCACTATAAAACTAGGGAAACTTTGGTTTGCTTTTGCCGGGAAGAAGATAAAGGCTAGGCAAATTGCTCTAGGAATCAATGTGGGAGGGGCCCTAGACTTTGAATCAGGACTTTGGAATTCCAGGCCGGGCTCTAACTTACTGTGTGATCTTGGGCAAAGCACTTCCTGGCCGGGTGAATCTCAGTTTCTCCAGATGCAAAATGAGGAGGTTAAATTGGAAGAGCTATGAGGTCCTTCCCAGCTCAGACTTTCTATGTTCTGATGAAGTGCCTTTGAGAGCTCTGGGTCTGCATTTCTGTGAATTGGTGGTGGTACTGAACTTCAGTGGATTAGCAGTTCAGAATACCTTGTTAGGCCCTGACCTGACATCCCCAGGTGACCCGAGTCAACATTTCTGAATTCTGCCTTTCTCCAGTGTTTGCATGGACAGTCAGCAGAATGAAGGCAGCTAAGAAGCAAAGGTCAGCCTTGATTTCAGCAGAATGGTCAGTGGAACTGAGCTGGTATTCTTTGGAAGTCAGAGCATCCAACCTTGATAAGAGTGAGAGAAGCTTGGCATTTCCTTGCTTCTTCTTTTTGTATTTCATTTTTTTTTTTTAGTGAGGCAATTAGGGTTAAGTGACTTGCCCAGAGTCACACAGCTAGGAAGTATTGTGTGTCTGAGGTTGGATTTGAACTCAGGTCTTCCTGACTCCAGGGCCAGCATTCTCTCCACTGCACCACCTAGCTGCCCCTTGCTTTTTCTTTTTGGAATTGGAGAATATCAGAGATGAAAGAGACCTCAGAATAAAGCACAGACTAAAAGCAGAAAGGGACTATAGGATGTAGAAGATCAGAGCCGAAGGGGAGCTTGGAGATCAACTAGTCCAACCTCTGTGCTCTGAATTTGAGGCAGCTGGGATCTGAGAAGAGATAAGGACTTACCCAGGATCACACAGTAAGTTCATAGCAGAAACTTGGTTAGAATATATAGCTCTTAGCTCCTAGGCTGGAGCTTTTTTTCACTCTACTGCAAAACATTTCAGATTTCTTGATTCTTGGCCCAGGAGATCATTAATCTAGTTATAAATAATAGTTATAGTTAATATTTATATAGTACTTTAAGCATTGCAAATTGCTTTACATATATCATCTTATTTGATCCTCGAAACAGCCTATAAGGTAGGAGCTATTATATTATGATCCCAATTTTACTGATGGGAAACTGAGGCAGAAAGAAAGTCAATGACTAGCCCAGGGTCACACAGCCCATACAGGTCAGAGGCTGGATTTGAACTCAGTCCATTATGCCCCACCCTGCATCTAGCTACAAATTAATCTGATAACTATATATTTCCTTGACTTCTCAAACATAGTTTCATTCCCCTGTCTATGCCAGCAATCCCAAAGTAAAGTTAGAGGCCAAGAGAACAATAACCTTATGGTCTTTAGTTATAGGGGAACTAGGGGAAGGAAGTTGAAATTAGAAGGAGCTAGATTGTGGCTCATCATAAGGAAGAATTCCCTGACAATTAGAGTTGCCCAACCCAACAATGGAATCTGCTTCCTCTCTGGAGTCTAGTGGACTCATCATTGGATGTATTCAATAGTAAGTACCTACTGTGTGCAGAACACTGTATTGTGAGACACAGAATTTGGATAAAACCATAGTCCCTGCCCTCTGAGAGCTTATAGTCTAGGAATGAGCCTGGATAAGGACTTCTCAGGTCCAGTGACACTGGTCTCCTTTCTGTTCCTTATATCTCCCTCTCTGTTCATTTTCACTGGCTATCTACCATGCCTGGAATGCTTTTTCTCCTTGTCTCCACCTCATTTTCTTGACTAAAATCCTACCTTCTTCAAGAAGCCTTTCTTGGTCCCCTTTAATGCTAATGTCTTCTGGCTGAGATTGTCTCCAATATATCTTATATATTTTGTTTGTACATAGCTGTTTGCATGTTGTCTCCCCAGGTAGAATGTAAGCTCCTTGAGGGCAGGACTTGTTTTTGCCTTTGTATCCCCCAGGGTTTAGCACAGTGCCTGGCACATAGTATTTACTAAGTTGAATGATCGTAGACCAAGGAATGCTGTAGAATCAATTTATGCTTTGAGCTGTATGTTGTTACTGTCATTAATATTATTATTAAAGAAAAAGGTGGTGTTGTGTACTAGAAAGAGACTCTGGCTAGGAGTCAGATCTGGGTTCTGGTCCTAGGTCTGCCATTACATTAAATGTTAAAACACAGAATGTCAAAGGTAGAAAGAAATTTAGAGATTGTCTTATACCTTGGTACCAAACTCAAATAGAAACTGCACCATTAAACCAAATGTAAAAATCCCCAAAGGCCACATTAACTCAGAAAACCATGTATTAACATTATCTGTATTTTATTGTGTTTGGCGAGGGGAAGTAGTTGGTGGCAAAGTAGATAGTGCCAGGACTGAAGTCATGAAAACTCAATCTTCCTGAGTTCAAATCTGGCCTCAGACATTTACTAGCTATGTGACCCTGGGCAAGTCACTTTACCCTGTTTGCCTCAGGTTCCTCATTTGTAAAAATGATCTGGAGAAGGAAATGGCAAACCGTTCCAGCATGTTTGCCAAGAAAACTCCAAATAGGGTCATGAGGAATCAGACACAAATGAAAACTACTGAACAACAACAAATTGTATTTTTATTTTGTTAAATATTTCCCAGTTATATTTTAATCTGGTTCAAGCTGCACGCAGGAGTGTTGTGAGTTACAAATCCCTCACTTGACAGATGAGTTAACTGAAGCCTAGAAAAGAGGAAATGAATTTGCCTCGGGTCATTCAGTTAATGGATGACAGCTCTAGGACCAGAACTCACATTTTTTGACTTCTAAGCTAATGGCCTTTCTGCTACACTATGCTCTCTACCAAGTCACTTAACTTTCTGAGCCTCAGTTTACTTATCTGTAAAATGCCCTCTTATGAGTGAGGCTCAAATAAGATGATATGTGTTAAATGAAACTGTAAAGGGACAAAGCACTTTTTAAATTATTGTTGTTACAGAAAAAAATCTCTGTTTGAGTTCATCATGCCCCTAACACTGGCTGCTTGGGAGGGGAGGGGTGTGTGTGTGTGTGTGTGTGTGTGTGTGTGTGTTGTGTGTGTGTGTGTGTGTGTGTTAGTTATAATTTGCATTGTGTTTGGAGCTGGGGTGTTGGGGTGGGAGGGGCAAGAGAAATAACCTCAGAAGTTTCTTTCCAGCTCAGTGATTCTGTGAATTCTGAAATTCAGGTTGTTGCTGCCTGTTCTAAACAGTAAGGCTGAGACGGTTTAGCCACTTCTCCTGAGTGTGTTGTAACAATGCCAGGCTCCTTTTGAACTGTTACATAATAACGTTGGGTCCTCCATCCTTCCCGCAGATAGAGAACCACCCGATGTTAGGGCTGGAGGATTGGAACAAGGATCATAGAATGTCAGAACTAGACAGGACATTCTTAGAGACCATTAAATCAACCTATTCATTTGAGAAACAAGGAAATTAAGACTCAGAATAGGGACCAACTTGCTGGCAGAGCTGGACAGCTAGGTGACTGGGTGGATAGAGCTCCAGGCCTGGAGTCAGGAAGACCTGAGTTCAAATCTGGCCTCAGACACTTCTCAGCTTTATGACCCTGGGCAAGTCACTTAACCTTGTCTGCCTCAGTTTCCTCATCTGTAAAGTGAGCTGGAGAAGCAAATGGCAAACCAGTCCAGTATCTTTGCCAAGAAAATCCATAATAGGGTCATGGAGAGTCGGACATGACTGAACAACCATCACAACTTGCAGAGCTAGGGCAAGATAGGTCTCCTGCCCACCAGACCTTTGGGGTTTGGTCAGTGAGGCTTTGGGCTAATTCACTTTCGGGATGGTGGGAAGGGCAGAGAGGAACACTTTGGGTCAGGCCCCAGCATCCTGGGCATATTACTGAAGGGAAGGAGGTCATCTGACCCTGCTTCATCCACCATATTGCCACCGACACCATGGCGCCTTTCTTGTAGTTTTGTAGGCAGGGAATGGTTCCTGATCCATAGGGAGTTAAGGGAATGTCTTTCAGATCAAATGAGATAACACATATAAAGCACTTTGCACCCCCTAAAGTGCTAGATAAGTGCTAGCTATGATCATTTCTCCCCCTCCTTCTGCCAGGTTCTGGAGTTTGTGTAGGACAGGAATTAAAAACAGAATCTCTGGAAACAGCTGATTGTAGAGCCCAGGTTGTCACCCAGGCAGGAGCCAGACTCTGGTGGAAGAATCCTGGACCTGAGGCCTGGGTTCAAGTCTAAACTTTGCCTCTCAGCTGATTTTTAGCTTATCTATGTGTTATCCTTCTGTCCTCTCCCCCAGTGATCATGAGTACTTAAGAATTGATATAACTGATTTGCAGTGTCATGTGCAGTTATCTTTTTTATTATACTATGTTATGGAGATGCTTGTTTTATTCTATAAACTAAAAATAATAAAAAAAAACTTGAGTATATATTTCCTTGGCCTTTGAATACCTGGCCAGTTTAGTGTTTGTCTAGGAATGGCCTCCAAAGGGAAAGAAAGGAAACTTTTCTATTTTGTCCATTCTTATTGTGTTTCCCAGACTCCTTCAGGTCAGGGCCTGTTGCTTCTTTTTCTCCTCCTTGACTGTGACCTCTCTGAGGGTACTTGACAATGTTTCTTATCCTCTTTGTACATGGGATCATAGCTGGAAGAGACCTCAGAGGCCATTTTACATATGAGAAAACTGAGGCCAGGGGAAGTTAAGGGACTTGCCCAAGGTCAGACATATATTAAATAAGTGTATGAGGGAGGACTCAAATACAGGTCATCTAACACCAGAGCCAGTGCTTTCTTCCCTGTGTTACTCGATACTGGTCTGAGCACTTAGTAACTTTTCTGTGACTGTTGATTGGATTAGTCATTATTGATTTATTGGGCTAGGGTACATGGTGTGGAGAACCAACTTAAAAGGGTGTGCTGAGAACATTAGTTAAGGTTCTTGGCAATGTGCTCTGTGCCTGGCATTATGGGACAATAAATCTTTTGCTGGGCACTTGGGGAGATACGACATTAGGTAAGACATGCTCATTCTGCCCTCAAGGAACTCACTCTTTAATAGGGAAATAAGACACAGAGATAGGCAGTAATCCTCACTATTACAAAAATGCTTAAAGAACAGTGTAAGATCCCAAAGGAGAAGATCTGACTGGGTATGGGGAGTGGAGGGAAGGAAGTCGGATCATTTGATTGTATTCTCCCTTCTCTTAGGAATGTGAAGACCCCAGAAGTCCCAGGTGCTCAGCTGGCTAAGGCGTCTGGGAGAAGATAGCAAGAGATATGGGTCTGAGCAAGGAAGAGAGTTGTACTCGGCGACCTCCCATCAAGGGGCAGCCAGAACCCCCAGAACTGGCCAACCGAGTCATCGCTATTGTCTTCCTGGCCCTGCTTATAGACTTACTTGGCTTCACTCTTATCCTTCCCCTCTTGCCTTCCATCTTGGACCACTATGGCAGATCCAGCGTGAGTGGCATTATTCCCCAGGGGCCATGAAATACAGGCCATGGATGTTGGGAGTGGGTGGTGAGGGTGAGGGGGAGCAAGCATTGATAGTGCATATTTCTAGCAGTGCCCCTTGTTACCTGGTCAGTCTATGTAATTTTACACACACACACACACACACACACACACACACACACACACCCCTGAATAAGAATCAAGGAGATTCAGTAGAAAGAATTCTTGGACTAGGAGTAGAGGCCCTGGATTGGAATCCTAACTTCTCAAAGTGCTTTATAAACCTTAAGGTGCTAGAGAAATGTGGATTGTTTATTTTTATTGTCTAAATATTTAAGGCATGTGTGTTTGGTTGGGGGAGACAGTAAGAGGGAGGGATGGGTTTGTGGAGTTTGGGAGCCTGTAAGATAACTTACATTAGTTTTAAATTAATTCTTTAGCTCAGTTCTTCATACACATACCCCACATCCCCCAAACAAAGGACAAACACTTCCCCCTCCGCCCAGGCCTCCCTCTTCTGGACAGAGCTGGGCTCCCATGGTGGTAGTTGGAGGAATACAGAATTCAGGGGTTTATTCATGGTATTGCCTGACAGGCTTTTTTCCTTTCTATAGGACCCTTTCTATCAGTCCCTACAGCAGGGCGTTGACTGGTTTGCTACCACAGTTGGTGTGCCCCCTGAGAGGAAATACAACAGCGTCCTGTTTGGAGGTACAAGTCTTTCCAGGAACCTGCATTTGGTTTCATTGTGGGCTGAGCATCCAACATAGGGGCCTAGTTAGTAGCCCCACAAGATCCCTGGTTTCCTCTTCTGGCCTTTATGCAGTGCCTCAGTTGGAAAGATTCCTGGGCAGAGCATCACTTGAACTCTATCGACCTCAGTTTTTCTCTATAAAATGTGGATGATACCATCCATCCTTTTAAAACAGAGCACATGTGCTACTTCCTCCACGAAACTGTCTCTCGTAAAGGCCTTCTGCCTCGGACCTCACAGTTTAATTTTATTTTGCTCCTTTTTAACATGTTGGTCGTGCATTACAATTATCTGCAATTTCTCCCCATATTAGACTGTAAGTTCTGTAAATAAGAATGTTAGATCTAGTGGAAAGTAATCTTCCTCCCATAGATTATGAGTGTCTTTGAGGGGCAGTGACTGTTTTCATTTTTCTCTTGCTACCCTCTTAGCCTAGTCACATAGTAGGTATGTAATACCTGCTTAGCAAATTAAGCTGAATTTAATTTGAATAAGGGCATGGGTGTGTTATTTAAACTTTGTATCTAAGGGTGTGCTAGTAAATGTTTAATAACCAGATCCCCAGGGGGGAAAAACTGTACTCACAAACTTTTAAGTTTAATTTGCATTAATAGCATTTTTTCTACCGCTTTCTTAAGCCTGGACAATCAACAGTAAATCAAGCCCTGATATGTGGCACATAGATGTAAATGTTCATGCTGAACATTTCACCACCAGCTCTGGTAAGCTGGTTTGTGCTGGTTCCAGCACATGCCTGTTTGTATCTCTCCCAGCACACAATGGATAAGATAATCACTTTGACTTTACAGCTGGAAGGGATCTTCAAGACAGACAGACCGTTCACTCTAGCCTCCTCGGTTACACATGAGGAAGCAGCCAGGGAGGGATGAAGTGATTTGTCTAAGGACCCTTGGGAAGGAAATGACAGAGTCGGGATTTGAACCTATGTCCTCTGATTCTAAATTGTGTGTTCTTTTCACTCGTACCGTGCTTAACAAGTATTTGTTAGAGGGGAGATAGGAAGAATAAATGACCCTGTTTTTGCTGTTTCCCAGGCCTGTTAGGAGAATAAAGTAATCTCGTGGAATAAAATGAACATAAAACCCTGAACCTCTTTTTAGTCTAATTCAGCAAGTGTTTAGTTAGATCCTGATTGTATACCTAGCTCTGCTGTTTTCAGGGAGACACGAGGAGGGAAGGGAAACTCAGGATTATATAATTTGGGGCTGGAAAGGACGTTAAAGATTACCTAGTTCAACCTCCCTATTCTACAGCAGGGGAGACTGAGACCTTGAGAATCTTGTATAAGGTCATGAAACTAAAAAGTGACAATTTGGATTTGAACCTTGGACTTCTGACCCCAGGCTGGTAGGCTTAGAGATAAGTAGAAAGAAGGTGGTACAAACCCACCACAAATAGGAAAGCAACTTAAAAATGTAAACAATGCCACATAAATGTGAAGTATGCTATTATTAGAAATAAATAACATGCTGTCATGCCCTGATAATGCCGGGGGAAGGAAGGAGAGGGAATAAGCATTTATTAGGCACCTACAATGGGCCAGACACTGCTAATCACTTTATAACTGTTATCTCATTTGATCCAGTACTAGCTGATTTGGAGATGATGGAAAATGGCTGGTTACAAATAATAGCTAGCATTTATATCATGCTTTAAGATTTGCAAAAGAGGGGCAGCTAAGTGATGCAGTGCATAGAGCTCTGGCCTTGGAGTCAGGAGGACCTGAGTTCAAATCCAGCCTCAGACACTTAACACTTAACTAGCTGTGTGACCCTGGGCAAGTCACTTAACTCTGATCGTCTCAACAAAACGCAAAAAAACAACCCCCCCCAAACCCCAAGATTTGCAAAGGACTGTAGAAATATTATCTCATTTGATCCTCACAACAACTCTGGGAGGTACAGTTTTACAGTTGAGGAAACTGAGGAAAAGAGGTTAAGCTACTTGCCCAAGGTCACACATCCAGTAAGTGTCCAAGGCTGAATTTGAACTGGGGTCTTCCTGACTCTAGACCCAGGACTCTATTCATGGTGCCACCTACCTACCTATTATTATTTGTGTGATTCTCAGGATTATAGCATAAATCTGGCCTCCTGGCATTTTGGCCTCAGTATAATTGTAGAGTCCAGGAAGTGTGTCCTTAGTGTTCTCTCAGCCACCCCTTCAGCCCCCCTCTCTCTGGCCCAACCGAAATGCTTGTCCTGCCCTCCATTCTGATCCCTCTTCCCATACAGATTAATGGCTGATAATAGTTTAAGGCATGTCATCCTGCTGGCACGTCTGTATGTGCCCCCAAAATCTTCAGCATACAAAGAAAACTATCTTTCACGGCAAAATTTCAGAACTTTGGACAGGCCCTTTAGGGTAGGGTTCCCTCCACTGATTCTCCTGCCTTTTGGACAGTCCCTCAGAGGCGAAAGCCCAGCTTGGCCATAGAAAAGGGCTCCAGAGGAAAGGTGTGGAAATCACTGCTGATCCGAGGGGCAGTGAGGCTAATGGTTTCTCTCTTTCAGGTTTGATTGGCTCCATCTTTTCCATCCTGCAGTTTTTCTCCTCGCCTCTCACTGGGGCAGCATCGGATTCCTTTGGGAGGCGGCCCTTAATGCTGCTGACTTTGGTATGACTCCTCAGGGTCTGTAGACCAGTGGTTATACAAATACTCGTGTAAACAACCTTTATCTCCCATGCCCCAAGGCAGGTATTTACCTGTTAAAAGAGAGATAGACAGTTAAGTGGAATCTTAAGCTGACAGGGTAAATTTGAGAATACAGTATCTGCATCTAGGAAGGTAATTGCCCCTCATTGGAACCTCTGAAGACTTGATCAGAGAAGTTACCTCCTTTTTAAAAAAAATTTATTTATTTTTAGTTTTCAACGTTCACCTCCATAAGCTTTTAAGTTTTAAATTTTCTGCCCCTCCCTCTTCTCCTCTCTCCCCAACATGGCATGCAATCTGATATAGACTCTACATATACGTTCATCTTAAACATATTTTCACATTAGTCATGTTGTAAAGAAGAATTAGAACCAATGTGAGGAACCATGAGAAAGAAGAAACAAACAAAACAAAACAAAACAAAAAGAGAGCAAATAGTATGCTTTGATCTGCATTCAGACTCCATAGTTCTTTCTCTGGATGTGGACAGCATTTTCCCATTTTGAGTCTTTTTGAGTTGTCTTAGATCCTTGCATTGCTGAGAAGAGCTAAGTCTATCATAGTTGATCATCACACATTGTTGCTGTTACTGTATACAATGTTCTTGTGGTTCTGCTTACTTCACTCAGCATCAGTTCATGTAAGGATCTCTAGGTTTTTCTGAAGTCTGCCTGAGAAGTTACCTCTTGTTAAGACTTATTTAAGTCTTTTCATTTTACTTTGTGCTAACAAGGTGGCTCATATTTTTCAACTGTCTTCAGCTTAGCTGCCTTTGAAAAAATACATTTTATTAATTTATTTTGTGTCTGTCATTACAAGGAGGGTGATCTCCCTGGACTAAACTCTCCTTTGTAATGAAGAAAAATAATTAAGTAAAGATACTTGACACAGTTACCATAATTGACAATGTATATAACATTTGACCCTAGCATGCTTGTGCCTCTGCCATGAAGAGGGATATATGTTTCATTATTTAACCATCACCGGTTTTTCATGTATTCAGAATCTGGCTTCCTTTTAGTGATCAAAGCTGCCTTTTTTTTTTTTAATTAGAAGAGTGAGCATAGCATAATAGAAGCAACACTGGATTTGAAGACAGGAGACTTGGATTTCATTTATTGAGTAAACATTTATTAAGTGCCTACTGTGAAAAGCATTGTGTTAGCTAGGTTCTTAGGAATGCCAGAGTTGATGCTGTGCCATCTCTACTGCTTAAAAAGCTTTTACTATGACGGAAGAAAGACATGTACGCAAACACAAAGCAAGGTATTCTAAACAATGAGAAGATTGAACTAGAACTCCCTTCTAGCTCTGAATTCTATGATCCAACTGGTCAAGCTTTTAGAGAAACTATCACTTCTGTGACTAAGCCTTCAGAGTAGCAGCTGCTGATAATTCCTAGATTCCACAGGGATTGGAAAGATAAATGCAAAGGTGAAAAATTTGTGTTCTTCCCTCCCCCTTATAAACAAGAAGGCAAGATGTACTCAGAGGATGGGAAGGGATATGGGTCAATGTGGCAACACCTTTGGAGCCTCTGTGTCTGCCCGGCATTTGTTGCCATTTGGCTGACCTTAGGGGCACACGAGCTCTAGATCTGTTTGATAGACTCCGAGGTCAGGTCAGGACTCAGTATAGATAACGACTTCCCTTGCTTGCCCACAGGTGGGGCTAATCATGTCCTATGCATTGTGGGCCCTCTCCAGAAGCTTCAGAGCCTTTCTACTCTCCAGGGTAATTGGAGGAATCAGCAAAGGCAATGTTAGCCTTTCCACAGCTGTCATTGCAGACCTGAGCTCACCCCAGGCTCGGAGCAAGGGAATGGTGAGTCATGGAGTGTTCGCTCAGCTATGTCCCCTTAAATCTCCTTCATTCCTCCCTGCTGTACTGGAGGACTTAGGCCAGATAGAAGTCAGCAGAGCTTCTTACCCTATTAGCCATGCCTCTACTTGCTTCTCTGTCTTGCTTTCTTCATCACTTGTGCCCTCTGGGCCTCAGTTTCCCCATCTGTAAAATGGGGACGGTGGTTCCTGTCTTGCTGAATTCACAGGGTGCTGCGAAAAGCCAGTGAGATAAAGGAGGTGGGAATGTTATTGTAATCTTTAAAAATACTATCTTTGTCTAAGGTATCTCTCCACTTTCTTGCTGGGGGGTATTTAGCAAGCATCTGGACTTTTCAGTTCCTGGTAGACTTTGGGAAGTGACATCTACCATTCAGGGACAGGTGACCCTAGGGGTCAACAGGAGGCAGCATGATGGAATTAAAAAAAAAAAAGAAGTCCTGCCTGGGAGGTGGGAGACCTGGGTTCTAGTCTTAGCTCAGTTGCTGTGAGAGTCAGTTTCCCTCCTGTGGGCTTTAATGTCCCGTCCCCTCCCATCTGTGAAAGATGATAATCCCTGCCCTGGACTCACAGGGTGGATGTAAGGATAATATAAGAGAGTGGATGGCTTTGAGAAATAGAATCATTTCTTCCAGTTACTCCAAATGTGACTTCTTATATTCTTAATGTAGGAGTATTAATATATACAAGGGCAGGCATGCTTCAGGAACCTGAGATTTTGTGACAGTATGGATAATCCCTCCACTGACAGATTTTGACTCCTCAAAATTTAGTGGTTGGTCTTCCAGAGTTGCTACAGTAAGCAAATAAATACATTTCTAAAAAAATCATTACCGTGTGGCCGAGCTGGTGATGAGCGTCTATGTCCCCCTCGCCTAGGCAGGTTCCTGGAAGACAGCTACAAGGCCTGTCCCCTGACTCCTTGTATTCCTGTTTTGGTGGCTCTGTGATCTCATTGCAGGGGTACTTTCTCTAGCTTCTTCTAGATCAGGGTTCATGGACCCCTTGGGCATTCTGGTGAACTGCATGGATTTCTTTTCAGAATAATGTTTTTAAATGCATAAAATCAAATGCAAAGAATTACAAGCTACACTGAAATATAGTTATCAAAATATTTAAAAGAAGAACTTTACAGGCCCCCCTCCTAATTGAGTGGTGCAGATTACACCTTTCTTATCGTTGAACAGTCTGGTACGCATCCTCCCATAAATCTTCCTGTGGAGTCCACTCAATGTGCCAACGACCTTCTTCTAGATCTCCTGACATTACGTGGGTATCAGTGATGTACATCCCTGGAGTGAAGCACATGAGCTCTCCATCCATTCTATCTCGATTTCTCTATGTGATCAGCTCACCTCCTTTCTTTGTCTTATGTTTCTTTTCTGTGTACTTATGTTCTTATCCTGTGTACTTCTCTGTTGGCGATATGTCGTACCCTACTTATGCCTGTTATGTCTCTCCTTTGTCTTTTGGATGACTTGTAACTTTAATTGTTTAGAGACTGTGGGATTTCATGCATTGCAGCCATGTGGCATCACTGGAAGAAATATTGACATATGGTAGTAAAGGAACAAATTGGCAAAGATGGCAGGAGATGGAAATAGTCAATGTTGGTGGCACTGTGGGAAGATAATCACATTAATACACCATTGGATGAGCTATAAATTGGTCTAATGATTCTGTGAAGCAATTTGGAATTATGCTAAAAAAAAAGTGACTGGAATGTTCATACCTTTTGACCTAGAGAAGAGGGTATCCTATGGTGCCCACTGGAGTGGGGGGAGGAGTCTTTGAATTGGCTCTGGGTATTGGAGGAGAGAGATAATGAGATTTACTAAGTCTTTCTCCCTGAAACTATCTAACTCTGACCAGTTTCCAGGGACAGCTTCTTGGGATATGGAGTGGGGTGTGAGACTGAGTTATTTTGATGTGGTTGAAAAAACATGGCACCTATATTTGATTCCTTACTCTGACATTTGCTTGCTTTGGACAAGTCACTTAATGTTCCCAAATCCCAGTTTTTTCCCCTAATCCAGCCCCCTGTTTTAAAAATATTAATAAGCATTTATTTTCTCTTTTTTCTTTTCTTCCCACTGGAAAAAAATAAAAAGTCCTATAACAAATACAGTCAAACACATTCCTGAATTGACCATACTCAAAATATCTCTTTCTGCCCCTTATGATTATCTCCAGTCAGGAGGTGAGTAGCATGCCCAATCATTGGTCCTCTGGAATCATGGTTGGTCATTGAATTGACCATAGTTCTTAAATCTTTCAAAGTTGCCTCTTTTTACAATGTTGTTATTGTATAAATGATTCTTGTAGTGTGCTCATTTCTGCATCAGCTCATACAAGACTTCTCAGGTTTCTCTGAAATGGTTCTTTCTGTTAGGTCTCACATCACAACAGTTTTCCATGACATTAACATGCCATAATTTGTTCAGCCACTTGCCAATTGATGGACATTGCCTAAGTGTCCAGTTCTTTGCTCCTATAAAAAGAACTGCTATATTTTTGTACATATGGGTCCTTTTCCTCTTTTTTATTTCTTTGAAGCTGCAGTGGTATTGCTAGATCAAGGGGTGTATACAATTTAGTGACTTTTAGGGTATAGTTCCAAATTGCTTTTCAGAAGGACTGGACTAATCCCTGTAACTACCACTGGTACATTAGTATTCCTGTTTTCTCACAGCCTTCCAACATTTGCCATCTTCCTTTTAACTTACATTTCTCTGTTTAGTAGTGATTTCGAACATTTTTTCATATGGCTATTTGTAGTTTGAATTTCTCCCTTGGAAAACTGCTTGTTCATAGCCTTTGGCTCTCTGTCTACTGGGGAAGAGGCTCTGGTGCTTAAGCCAAAAAATGAAGATAGTAATACCTGTACATCCTGCCCCCAGGATGTGAGACTTGGGCTTTGTAACCCTTCAAGAGCAATAGAAATGTGAGTTGTTATTTTTATTGCCATCTCATGTGTAAAGATGCTGTGTTCATGCCACTTCTGCCCCTGCAGGCCATGATCGGGGTTGCCTTTTCTCTGGGCTTCACCATAGGCCCGATGATTGGGGCTTACCTAGCAGCAGAGACAGGGAAAGGAGACGTCTTCTACTTTCACGCGGCCTTATTGGCTCTGGTGTTTGCCATCTCTGACCTGCTGTTCGTTTTCTGCTTCCTTCCGGAAACACTCCCCAGGGAAAAACGGGTAAGGCCTCAGAGGGGCTTATTTTAGGTTGGGAGGTTAGAGAATCATAGATTTATAGCTAGAAGGGACCTTTAAGGCCACTGAGGTGTCCATCTTACAGATGATGAAACTGATGCTGAGACACGTTAAGTGATTTGCTCAGGGTCCCATGGCTAGAAAGCATCTTAAATGGTATTTGAACTCAGGTCACCTTGACTCCAAGTCCCCTTGGCTTTGTTCACTTCACTACCAGCTGCTTCTAACTCTGAGAGCTTTCTGATTCTCCCGAATCAAGATAGATGTTTAATGTTAATGGCAACAGAAGAGCCAGAGGCAATCATGGCTGAAAACAAGTGGGTGGACTAATTGAATTAATTGCATGTGTAGACACACATAACCTTTCTTTTTTTTCCTTTCCATTTGTGTGGCTTACAGTAGTGGGAAGTCACTAAGTTAATAAGCATTTATATACCTACTACGTGCAGAGGCAGCTCAGTGAATGGAGCACTGGGCCTGGAGTCAAGAAGACCTGAGTTCAGTGTGACCTCAGACACTTACTAGCTCTGTGATCCTGGGGAAGTCACTTAACTTCTGTTTGCCTTAATCCAAGGAAATGGCAAACCACTCTAGTATCCTTACCAAGAAAACCCCACTTGGGGTCATGAAGAGTTGGACATGACTGAGCTACAACCATATGGGTTACAGAGAAAGCTGGGGCCTTTCACCCTCTTGGGGCTCTCTGCCTTGGTTCTGCTACCCCACATTAGCATCCTTCACCTGTTTTCCCAGTGGCCTTAGGAAGACCCTGTTCATGTTTCTCATCTGTAAAATGGTGATGAGAACAGCTCCTAACTCAGTGGGTTGTTGTGAGGATTGAATGAGATAATATATGCAAAATATTTCACAAACCTTAAAGTATTTGGTAAATGCTAGCTAGTGTCACGATTATTTGAACTATTCCAGGGCTAGAGAAAGAGAGGTGTTAGAGTGTCAGACCTTGGAAACTCTCCTCCTGTGTAGGTGGGGAGGCGGATAGAGGTGAGAGAGGGAGGGAAGGACAGAAGAGGGGAAGGGGGGGGAAAGAGACACTTTTTAAAATAGTCTCATTTTTTCTTTCATCATTTTAGAAAACATCTGAGTTGACTAGTTCTAGGCTGAACTAATTCAGCAGGGTTGTTTCTGTGTGTGTGTGTGTGTGTGTGTGTGTGTGTGAGTGTGCGTGCGCGTGTGCGCGCATGTGTGCACAGACCTGACCCATGCCTGGGGTTCAGTGCATCAATGTGGCCTTTATTTGGTTTGTGTGGCTCAGCAGAACCAGCATTGGGCTAGGAGCCTGGAGACCTGGTTTGGATCCATGGGTCGACACTGACTAGCCATGTGAACATGGGCAGATCACTTCTTCTCTTTAGAACTTGCTTTCTCATCTGTAAAATGTAAACAGTGATAATCCTTGCACCTTACAAGGTTGTTATTGCCTCTGCTTTGACCTGGACTGCTGTTGTAGCCTCCTGACAGGTATCTAGTCTATGCCTCTTATTTCTCTGCTCTCTCTTACATCCTATATGTGCATAGCTCTGAGGGTCCTGTCATTCCCCTGCTGAGAAATCTTCAGCGGCTCCTCAGTGTCTATAGAATACAACCCTAAATCTTACAAGCCATTCCTTATAACAAAGAAGGTTTCCTTGGCAAACTTTAAATCACAGGAATAGTAGTAGCTGTTAGTTTTGTAGCTTATGGTTTAGTTCAGGTTGCTTCCCCTTTGCTTCTTCTTTTGACCTCTTGACGCCCCAGCAGAAAGCTTACAACTCTGTGGTGGAAAGCACTGTCTTGCTTCTCCCCAGTAGGACTGTGGGCTCCTTGAGAGTAGGGATACAGATTCTGTAAGGCAATGGGGAACTATTTGTAGCTTCTTGAGCAAGTGAGGGATGTGATAAAAGGGATTATGGGACTTAGATCTGGAAAAAAAATCTTACAACATAGAATCCTGGAACTAGAGGGGGCCTTCAGGATTATTTATTCAAGTCTCTTCGTTTTATAGATGAGGAAACTGAGGTGGAAGGGATTTGCCTATGGACACTTACCTAGTAAATGATAGACCCAGGGCTTCTGACTCAAGTGCAGTGTTCTTTCCACTACCTTATGATGCCTCCCTAATTCTAGGAATAGACCCACCTTCCCAGCCTTTTACAGAGCAGGCTTGAAGAGGTAGGTCTGGCTTTCTGTTATGCCCTTGGCATTGGCCACCTTCCTTCTGTCTGGGAGGATGTGCCATGGGTGGGTTATTTGTCTCCCCAGGTTTCTTCTGTTCTATCTGGGTTGCAGGCAGCCTCAGACTTGCTCAGCCCAGTTGCCTTATTCCAGTTTTCGGCTGTCACCAGAGGGAAGGACTCCCCCTCTAGAGACAGTAAGGAGCTTCAATCATACATCTTGGGACCGGGTGAGGGAGAAGAATGGGGGGACAGGATGGGGGCATGGCAAGAAGGCTTCAGCAGGCTAGTGATGGCCACCAGTTCCTGTAACACCCCTTAGAATGGGAACTCCTTTCGGTTAGGGTCTCTTTAAGGTCACATAGCAAAATCTGGGGCAGATCTAGAGCTCAAACCCAGTCCTGAACCCCAAGTCTCTTGCTCCTTTACCTCACTGTTTGCTGGGGTAGAATATAGGAAAGTAGAGGGAATGGCTTGGGCCTGGAACAGGGCAGATTTCGGGGGGGGGCTGGTGGAAAGGAATGAGAATATCAAGCAGGTATTCTTAACTTGGGGTCTGTGAACTTTAAAAAAAAATATTTTGGTTGCTGTGTTCCCATATAATTGGTTTCCTTTGTAATTCTGTGGATTTTAATTTATGCATTTAAAAGCATGATTCTGAGAAGAGATCTGTAGGTTTCACCAGACTTGCCCAAGGAGTCCAAGATACAAAAAGGATGAAGAACCCCAGGGTAGAGAGGGAGTTGAGAAAGATCAGGTGGGGAAAAGAAGGAAGGGCCTTAATGAACAGACTCATTCCCTTGTATTTCTCTCCCTTTTTTCCCTTCCTGTCTTTCAGAACTCCAGAATCTTAAGGTCCTGGGCCTTGTTTATTTCCTCTATCTCTTCCTGTTTTCCGGACTGGAGTATACCTTGAGCTTCCTCACACACCAGCGCTTCCAATTCAGCAGGTACCTATGTGCTTGGAGAGTCCTAGGGCTGGGGTAGTTCCGATTTCTGCATTTGACTTTCTCAGATGCCTCCTGAATCTGGAGATTGATCTCTCTGTGCCTTCTTTCATTTTGTTCCTTCCTTGGTTTCCGTACCTGGAATGCTCCCCTCCTTAATGGCAGTCAGACAAATTGAGTTTAAGTCTTGACTCTGACACTCACTAACTAGACGGCACTGGGCAAGTCGTTGGGGGCAAGTGGGCTTGCACCCATATTGTTGTCTCTGTTTTACAGATGATGAAATTGAGACTCAGAGCCTACTAGTTATTTATTGGTCACATGACTGGCAAATGTCAAAGCCAGGATCAAATCCAAGTCCTCATTCTGCACTGACTCTTCAAACCTTAAGGCTGAGGGGGGAAGGTGGGAACATTTACTGTCTGATCCAAGACTTGGTGAACAAGGCCACAGTCCCCCTTCCTACCCCTTGTTGATTTTTCAGGCACTTGTCCCCTCTCAGTCTGTGTTCTTAGGCAAGTCACCCTTGGCCCATTACTGGGATCACCAGAGGCTTCCTCTTCAAGTCTGATAGGTTTGTCCTAAGGTATGAGAGCCCATCCTGAAATGGGGTCTTGGTCAAGTGAATATTCAGAAGATGAATGTGGCTCATCAGAGGCTCTGGGATTCTCAGAGAGAGTTTAGCCTTCTCAGGTCTGTGTGGTGCTGCCACACCCTAGAGAGAACTGAATGACACGCCTATGACAGTGTTCCTCAGGACTTATTTCTCCCAGATACAAAGAGATGATGGGTGGCTTCTGTACTTTTGTGACTTATTTATATTCATGGAACCAGAGAACTACATAAAAGCAGAGAACCTGGACAGGCAAAAAGGGGAAGGGAAGGAAAGAAGGGGAAAAGACAAGAGGAAGTATGAAAGGAAGGCTTCAGATGCCATGTGTCTTTGGGCCATGTACCATACTTTTTTTCCCTATGTGCCTTGAGATCTCTGGAAAACAAGGCCCAAATTAGTACTAGAAAAATCCTAGAATAGTAGAATGTCATAATTAAAACTTAAGAGGCAAAAAATGTAAAAAAATTTTAGTTGTAACTTGGAAATCAGCCAATTCTACAAATCAGGTCTTGATTTATTATTTTATTGATTAGGCTTTTAAAAAAGTGATGGAAGACATATAAGCAGTGAAGATTAAACTTAAAAGTGTGTCAAAAACAAATCAAGAACTTGTGGATGTCAAGTTCCACTCCCCAGTCGATGTAGTAGCCCTCTTTACAGGCTTCTCAGTAAGTTTCTACTTGGATACTTTCAGTGATTGGGAACTCAGTGTTTCATGAGGAAACATTCCATTTTTGATCAGCTGTGATGGCTAAAAAATTCTCCCTCATATTGAGATGAAATCTGCCTGCCCTGTGGGCAGAAGAAAAGACTTGGGGAGGGGGGCCGTGATCATAGAGCTGGAGGTCATGTTAGCTGTTTTCAAGTACTAGAAGGGGTATCATGTAGTAGGAGGAATTAAGCTTGTTCTTCTTGGCCTCAAAGAAAAGACCTAGTGTCAGTAAGTGGAAGTTGCAGATAGATTTCAACTCAATATATGGAAAAACTTTCTAAAGATTCTATGTGGAAATTTTTTTTCTCTTTTTGGAGGCAGTCAGGGTTAAGTGTCTGAGGCTAGATTTGAACTCAGGTCCCCCTAACTCCAAGGCCTGTACTCTAGCCATTGTGCCACGTAGCTGCCCTTCCATGGAGATTTTTTTTTTTAAACCCAACCTTTGAGCTACCATCTCACACCCATCAAAGAGGCACAGCTAATTAAAATCAGTGACTCAAAAAAAAATAAATAAACACAATGATTTGATGATGGAGTTCTGACAAAACAGGCATTCTCATTTGTTGCTGGTAGAATTGCACATGTAGAATCTTTTCAGAGAGCAGTCTTTCTAGTGCATGATAAAGTTACAAAAATAATCACATCCTCTGACCTGTCAGTGCTACTGTAGGGAATATACACTGAAACTGTTATCAGAAAACAAGAAAGATACATATGCTCATACAATATTATTATTATTGTTATTGCTTTTTGGTGAGGCAGTTGGGGTTAAGTGACTTGCCCAGGGTCTCACAGCTAGTTAAGTGTCAAGTGTCTGAGGCCACATTTGAACTCAGGTCCTCCTGACTCCAAGGCCAGAGCTCTATCCATTGCACTTAGCTGTCCCCTATTATTTTTAATTTTAAAAAGCTAGAAGCACCCTAAATGTCCCAACAATAGAGGAATAGGTAAACAAATTGTGGCACCTCAGTATAGTGCAATTAAAACTGGCAGCTTGAGAGATGGTTTCAGAGTTAGAGAATCTTGGGTTCCAGTTCCACTGACAGATCCTGGCTCTGTGACCCTACACAAGCACCTTGTCAACCTCTCAGTGCCCCGGACAATTCTAAGAGTCTCTAAGATGCCGGAAGGTGCTGATCCATATTGGTAAGGGAAGTTACTTAAGAAGAGCTCTTTACGCTGTTAGGGTGTAATCATCATTTGGATTTATAAAAAACAAAATAGGAGAAATGTAAAGAAATCTGGAAAGACCTTTTTGAAATAATTCAAAGTGGGAAAAAAAAGCAGAAACAGAGGATCAAAGTATAACTAATGACAGCTATATAAGAGGAAGAGTGAATGGAAAGGAATAAAGAATCCTGATACGAAGACTGGAACTGAAAAAGTAGTGAAATTAACACAAAGTATTGAAGTGCATTGAAACTAATTTGTGTAACTCTAAATAGCTTCTAAGCAAGGCTGATTAGTTATAATGATGTTCAGTATTAAGTTTATACCAAGCATTTCAGTGTTTTAAAGCGTACAGTGGATGGTAATGACTTATCCATCACTGGAAGTCTTTAGGGAGAGGGTAGATGATGTGGTGGTTGGGAATAGTATAGATGCATTTCCTGTTTATGTAGGGGTTGGACTGAGGCTCCTTCCACCTCGCACACTGATTTTGAGAATGCTGTTCACCATATACACGGGGGTACTGGCATGGCTGTCCCCTTGGCAGGTGTTTTGCCTGCACCACCCACAGAAGGGGGCCGCCTTCTCTTCCCGTGAATACTGTTTGCAGCACAACTAGACTTTCTCAGCAGGCAGGAGATGGTTTTTTTTAATAGCTCTAAGATTGAAAAGTTACAGAACTGGTTGTGGCTGGACAAACAGAGAGGTGGCCTGGGAACACCCTGGTTATCTGGCCAATTCTGTCTCAGTGGGTGGGTGTGGGATCTTGGAAGGAAAAAAACTATCCTCCAGGGACCTGGGCTGTGGCAAGAAGGGCCTTGATGCTGATGGGCCGTCTCGCTCCCTCCCTAGCATGCAGCAGGGGCAGATGTTTTTCTTTATCGGGATCACCATGGCAGTCATCCAAGGAGGCTATGCGCGACGGATCAAGCCAGGATGTGAGATTCAAGCCGTGAAGCGGGTAACCATGGCTCCCTTGCCCACATCGATGCCCAACCTGTCCCTCCCTGACTCCTCTCCCCATCAGGAATGGCCCAGGCAAGGGGACCACTCATGAGGACAGTGCAGGTACCATTTTGGGGAAGCTGTCTTTGCAACCCTTCCCTTCTCTGGAACTGCCCCTTCTGACTGTACTCAGGCCTCTCTTTGCGGGAATTAATCCACTGGAAAAAATCCATGGGCCAGTCTGATTTGGCACAGGACACAGGGGTCCAGGGGTCTCTAACCACTGTGGAGTTCTACTTTCTTGCAGGCCATCTTACTCTTGATCCCAGCATTCTTGTTTATCGGATGGGCTTGGAATGTGACGGTGCTAGGTGTGGGGCTGCTCCTGTATTCCTTTGGTGAGTAGGGTTTCTCTGGTGGCAGGTGTGGGGAAGATGCCAGGTGAGTCACTGAAGGTATGAGTGGCTGCTACACTTAGATTTGGAAGAGATAAATACTGTCTGATCACATGTAGTAGGAAATTAATAAATGTTTTTTTCAGTCCTTTCCAGCAAGGACTGATTAAATGACTACTGTGTGCCTTGCAAGGGGATACAAAGATGGGACATAATATAGCCCCTGCCCTCAAGGAGTGGGTGGGAGAGATACAGTGTGTAATCAGAGAAGATGTACATGATCATCTGAGGAGAAAGGAGAGAACACTCACAACTAGGGTGATCATGAAAGTTTTCCTCCAGGAGGTGGCATGTAACCTGTACCCTGCAGGAAGGTGGAGGTGAGGAGGGAGGGCATGCCAGGCATGGGGAACAGCCTGGGCAAAGGTCTTCAGGTACTGGAATGTGCAGTAAGCCTGGAAGGTTAGGCTGGAGGCAGATTGTGAAAAGGCCAGAGGGGCTGTTGAATTGGTCATTCACTTGCTCTAACCCTAGGCAAATCACTTCCCTTTGCCAGCCTTCAGCATCCTTAGCTGCCAAACAGGGCAATGATAATACCTACCTGCTAAGAAAGTGTGAGGATTAAATGAGAGGTGGTATGTGAAAGTTTTGAAGAGTTAAGAGCACTAATTATACTATAAACAGAAGATGGTATTAATAATTAATGAAGCTACCCTGGAGGATTACGCTAAGGATACTAATATAAGCAAAAAAGACAGTTCCTGCCCTCCTGCAGCTCACCTTCTAAGGAGGGAAGACTGCTCCAGTTCTGAGACTTGGTGGCTTAGTGTGGAGAATGCAGGATGGTTGGTCTAGACCCTTCCCCAAAATGGAGGGTCCAGGAAGAACTCAACAATGAGAGAAGGGGGCCTGCCCAGTCAGTAGGAGACCATTCCAGGTGAGAATGCTGCAGGTGCGGTTGGGTGCTCCAGGCTGAGGAGGCTTCAGGTGCTGACAAGGTCTAGGAAGATATAGCAGCTGAGGATGAAGGTCGAACATACCTACCTACCTACCTACCTACATACACACACACATCCATCCATCCATCCATCCATCCATCCATCCATCCATCCATCCATCCATCCATACATACATACATACACTTGCTGCATCTCACTTTGGGTCCTAATGGCCTCCCACATAACCCCATTCATTCTTAGCCTTCACTTTTCTCCCCACTACTTCCTCCTCTTCCATTCAGATATTCCCTGCTTGTGGAGAAGAGAGTAAGATAATAACCACGTTTCTGTAGTTCTTAACACTCCCCTCACAACCCTGTGGGGTAGGTAATTCAGTTGTTAGTCCCATTGTACCAAGAAGAAAACCAAGAGCAGTTAAATGACTTATCTAAAGTTGATAGGTGGTAGAGTCAGACCTCAAGATTCGGGTCTTCTGTTTCCCAAGCTAGTGTAAATTTTATTATTTCATACCATAGTCTCAGCCAATGGTTTGCAGAAGTTCTGGGGAACTACCCAGTGGGAACTTGGGGCTTGCCTGGAGATGTATCCCACCCTGCTACCCAGAAGACGCCTTTTGGGGAGTTTGGGAAGACTGCGGGGTTAGCTCAGCAGGAAGTAACTACAACCTTGGCAGCCTTAGCTTCTCCCTCCTCTTTGTACATATTCGAGGACTTCATCAGAGCCCTCTGTTGACAGCCCAGAGGTGTTTGTGCAGCAGATCGGGGAGTTTTGCTGCAGGGCTGCAGGGCTCTGGCTCCAGGCTCAGCCCTCCCTTCCCTTCAGGATTCCTGGGGTAGAGGGGAACTCCAGGCTGCTCCTGGGGAGGCCCGGAGCTCACGGGGACCTTCTTTTGCAGCGGCTGCCATTGTGGTACCGTGTCTGTCGGCTGTGGTCTCTAGTTATGGTAAGTCGGGGTTGGGGTGGTGAGAGTGGAGGTGGGGCCCTAAACTAGAGGAAAGAATTCGAGGCATCTGAGAGCAGGCCCTCATCTGTGTCGAGGGCACAGAGAGAAGGGACTTACTTATGGGTCTTCTCTATCTGACCCTCCCCCTCCTTTAAAGCCCAGTTCAAATCCCACCTTTTCTTGGAAGCCTTCTGTGATTAACCTAGCCCATGCTGATTGCCATGTCCTCTGAATTCTTAGAGCCCTTCTAACCTGGGCCCCTCATTTGGCCCTTCATATATGCTATCTTCAAGTCTTCATTCCCTTGTCAAATTCATATAGAACTTTTCCAGGTAGAATAGAGAGCTCATCAGCTCACGGACTGTCTCTTTCACAAATAGCCAAGTCTCGGACTGTGCATGAGAATACTTGCTGCTTTGGTGGTTTTTAGCCTCTCAAGTTTTATTGTACTTCATGTTACTGGCTAGGAAGGAGCCTAGCTGGCAATCAGCAAACATTTATTAAACATCTACTATTTGTCAGCACATAAACCCGAAGAATAAAAGAGCCCTTTTGGGAGATAACATGTACATACTGGCATAAATACTAACACATATATATGTATGCATATATTTGTGTATATATACATACACACATATGTAGCTGTGTGTATGCATGAATATATGCAAATGTATGTATATGCAGAACAAATACACAATAAGTACAGAGTATTTAGGGAGGGAGCTCCAGCAGTTGAGGGTAATTGGGAAGGTTTTGTGTGGAAGTTGGTGTCTGAGCTGCATTTTGAAGGAAGAGGATTCTTTAGAGCAAAGGTGAGTGAGAAGGGAGTGCATACCAAGCATGGGAGGATGGTTAGTGCAGGGGCACAGTAATGAGAAAGAGAGAGGAGAGAGAGAGAAGAGAGAGGGAGAGGGAGAGAGAAGAGAGAGGAGAGAGAGAGAGAGAGAGGAGGGGAGAGAGAGAGAAGAAAGAGGAGGGAAGAAGGGAGAGAGAGAATACCACATGAGAGGAAAAGGGAGGCCAATTGGTCTGGGCCATAGAGTGGGTTGGAAGTGATGTATAATGAGGTGGGAGAGATAGGTTGTGGCCTGTGAAGGGCTTTAAAAGCCAAACAGGGATTTATATGTGATATTAGCAGCAAGAGAGAGCCAGTGGAGTTTTTATAGGGGAGTGATATGGCCTTCACGCTCCATTCTCAAAGGGAAACTACTTTGGCAGCTGGGTGGAGCACGCATTGGAGTGGAGAGAGTTTGGAGGCCAGGACTCTGGTTAGAAGGCTATTGTAATAGTCCAGGTGAGAGGTGATGTGGGGCCAGAAGTAGGTTGGTGGTTGTATGAGTGGTGAAAGGGAGAGAAGAGAGACATAATGAAGCCAGAAATGGTAAGATTTAGTAACTGATTAGATATATGGAGTGAGGAAGAGTGAGGAACTGAAGGTAACACTGAGGTTACCAACTTGGGAGACTGGTAGAATGGTGGAACTTTTGACAGATATAGGAAAGCTTATAAGAAGGGTATGTTTTGGGTGAAAGTTTTGTTGAATTTGAGATTTGTCTGGAACATTCAGTTTAAAATGTCCTACTGGTAGCTAGTGATTTTGGCTGAAGTCCAGAGGTGAGGTTGGGGCTGATCACACTATCTATATCTGGGAGTCATCTGCACAGAAATAGCATGGGAGCCAAGGCAGTCACAAAGAAACCATAGAGAGATAGAAGAGTTCCAAGGATAGGACTTTGGGTAACAGCCCAATTAGGGGCTGTGACAGGGATGATGTGCTAGCAGAGGAGACTGGAAAAATCAGAGAGGAAGGAGAAGAACTAGGAGAAAGCTTTGTCATTGAAGTCCCAGGGAGAAAATGTAGCAGAAAGAGTCAAGAAGGATAAAAGTGGAGGGAAAAAAACCCAACCATTAGCTTTGTTAAATAAAGAAATCACTGATAATTTTGGAGAGTAGTTTCAGCTAAGTGATGAGTTTAGAAGCCAGATTGAAAGGGTTTGGGGCAGCTAGGTTGTACAGTGGATAAAGCTCTGGCCTTGGAGTTGGGAGGACCTGAGTTCAAATGTGACACTTATTAGCTGTGTGACCCTGGGCAAGTCACTTAACCCCAATTGCCTCACTGAAAAAAAAATGAGTGAGATGAAGAAGTGGATTCAAAAAGGATAGACAGCTTTTTTTCCCTCCAGTTTATCTGAGAAAGGGATAAGAGATATAGAATGAAAACGAGGTGATGGTAGAGTCAAATGTGGGTTTTTAAGGACAGAAGAAGCTTGGACATATTCAAAAGCAGTAGGAGAAGAACCATTCTATATGAAGAGACTGAAGATTGAGGGGGAAATCTGCTGGAGAAGATAAGAGGGGATGGGATCAGGACACAGGTAGAGGACTTGACCTTGCATGGAGAAGAGTCACCTCATTATCAGAAACATCACTAGCAGTGATCTTTTGATCCATCTGATGTCCCCATAGTAGGCAAAGTCTACAGCCACACTGTCCCCATTGGGCAAAATTGGAGATAACACAAGGCAAATTTCTGTGATGTATTTTCCATCTCCAGTATTTATGCTTTTGCACAAGTCATCCCAAATGCCTGGAAGGCAAGTTTAAGATGAAAACAAGTTTACTAATGTGTGACTAAAATGTGCACACCCAGAGATGTAAGTAACCACTAGGCATATGCCCCAAATTTAGAAAGGTCCCATATACATCAAAATATCAATAGTAGCACTTTTTGGTAGTACATGTGTTGTAATTACTGTCTCCTTACACAGGCTCAGCGGGTCAGAAAGGCACAATAATGGGTACACTGAGGAGCCTGGGAGCTCTGGCCAGGGCTGTAGGACCCATTGTCTCAGCTACAGGTAAGTTTGATTTGGGGGAGTGGCTAGGAGTAGGGATGTTCAAACACAGGCTAAGTAACATACAAGCATTTTTTAGTTATCTTAGCCCTTTCTCAGCCTTTCTTGCCTCCCTGTTTGGGGTATTTTGTTCATTTGTGGCAATGATAATCTCAGATTAATCACTTTTGCCACTTTGCTGCTTCTGGTAAAAAGGTGTCACTGAAAATACTCCTAAAGTTGATGGTTTGGGCTTTTCTGGGGCTGTCAAAAATTCATACAGTTGGTTTCAAATGAAATTCTTCTTTGTGACAAGGAGGTAACTCTAGGTTCCTGAAGGCTCTGTTAGTGAAACATAGGCTCAGACAAGGTCCTTCTAGGTTGGTAAGGCTTGGAGTACAGATCTGGTGATGGATGGGTTGGGAGTCTGGTATCTGAGAATGAGCTTAGCTGAGTGTGAAGGTTATCACTAGAAGCTTGGCCACTGGGTATTGAGAACAATCTGGGATTTCCGGACCACAGCCTAAAATATGGAAATGAAGGGCTCTTGGCAAGGGATGACGCATGCAGGGAAGGTTCTGAAGGTGAAACAAGATGTATAGGTCTCATTAGATAATTGGATTTTTATCACTGTGTCCTTGTGTTGCTGGTCCAGATAGTTGCAAGGCAGTGTGAGACTCATCCTTAATGGTGAGAGAGGGTAGGTGGGGTGAGTGGGGAGAAGAGTGGAAGTAGTGCCTTTCAGAAAAGGTTTTTCTGGGCTCCCTTTTGATTTCACTGGGGATGTTTTTCTTGCCACCAGGCATCGGAATGCTAGGTATGGGGTGGGGATTTAGGGTTGCCCTTTTTCCCTCTAGTGCTTATAATTATAAGTTCCAAGCTTTAGGGCTTAGTTAATGATAACTACTTATGCATCCCAGGGGTTAAGAATCAGGTAGTGAACAGGTAAATCTGTGCAGAGACCCAAAGAACCTATTAAGAAATTTTATTTCTAAAGTTTACTGACTCCATCAGATGTGGTTTCCCTATGACCCTTCACCATCAATACATGGTATTAGATCATCTTTCCTTATATATGTGGTCTGGGAGTTAGGAAATTGGGTTTCTATTCCCAGCTTTGCAACTAATTCATTATGTAAATTTGGCAAGTTGCGTTGATTCTTTGGGTTGAAGTATCTGTAACATTCCTCGGGTCACAATCTCCTGTCCTCTCACTGGTTCCCCTGAACCTCACGTATATTGAGTTTATTTTTGTTTTCACTGTTGCCGTGACTCCCAGTCTCTCCATCCCTTCCTGCTATATTAGTCCATCACCATGGTCTGGACTCACTTTTCTTCCCTTCACATTCTTGACCCTGTAGTTCACTTCTAATATATCCTCTGTCTCAAATTCCTTGTTCTTTTACTCCTCATATTTTGACCAGACCTCAATCCTGGGTCACCTTTGTACCATCCATCTTCTTCTGCTCCTACATGGAGGCAGTTGGAGGAAGTCTTACAATCATGCCAGATGCACAAGTTTGTTATTTTATCTCAACTGGGCACTTATTACTGGACAGCGATCCTTTTATTCTTCTCTGTTACACTCCCCACAGCAGCTGTTCCTCATCTCCTCTTCTCTTTTCCAGCCATCTATATGCTGTTTCCTCTCCTCTACCCCCTCAGCAGAGGACCTTGCCACCTACTTTACCAAGAAGACAATTGTGAGCTGATGCTTCTCCCCATCTTGCATCTCAAAATCTTTTATCATCAGCCCCTACCCTAGTTCTCTCCTTTGCTCTAGTCTCTAATGTAGAGGTATCCTTTTTTGCCAAGGTCAACCTTTTATTTGTGTCTTTGATATAAATTTTCCCCTAATTATTGCTTAGGCTGTATGCTATAAATTTTGGTATATTGTCTCATTGTTGTCAATATCTTTGATGAAATTATTGTTTCTATGATTTGTCGACCCACTCATTCTTTAGGATTAGAATATTTAGTTTCCAATTAATTTTTAATCTATCTTTCCATGACCCTTTATTGAATCATGATGTGAAAAGGATACATTTGCCTTTCTGCATTTGATTGTGAGGTTTTTATGCCCTAATACATGGTCAATTTTTGTGTAGGTGCTGTGTACAGCTGAGAAAAAGGTATATTCCTTTCTATCCCCATTCAGTTTTCTCCATCTTATCTAACTTTTCTAAAATTTTGTTCACCTCTTTAACTTCTTTCTTGTTTATTTTGTGGTTAGATTTAGCTAGTTCTGAGAGAGAAAAGTTGATGTCCCTACTAGTAAAGTTTTACTGTTCATTTCCTCTTGTAACTCATTTAACTTTTTTTAGAAATATGGATGCTATACCATTTGGTACATATATATTTAATATTGCTATTACTTCATTGTCTATGGTACCTTTTAACAAGATGTAGTTTCCTTCCTTGTCTCTTTTAACTAGATCTATTTTTGCTTTTGCTTTTCTGAGATCATGATTACTATCCCTGCTGTTTTTTTTTTTTACTTCAGCTGAAGCATATTTTGTACTAGCCTTTTACCTTTACTCCATGTGTACCTCTGCTTCCAATATAATTCTTACAAACATATTGTAGGTTTCTGGTTCTTAATCCAGTCTGCTATTTGCTTCTGTTTTATAGGTGAGTTCATTCCATTTACATTCACAGTTATGATTACTATACATTTCCCTTCATTCTATTTTTCCTGTTTGTATTTCTCTCTCTCTCTCTCCTTTCACCCTGTCCTTCCTCACCAGTGCTTTGCTTCTCACCACCATCTCCTTGAATCTGGTCTCCCTTCTATCATCATTTCCCCTTTTTCTTGTCCCCTTCTCCTCCTACTTCCTTATAGGTAAGATAGATTTCTATACCCAAATAAGTGTGTATTTTATTCCTTCTTTGAGTGAAAGCTGATGAGAGTAAGGTTCAAGCAATGCTTACTGCCCTCTTTTTTTCCCTCCACTGTAATAAGTCTTTTGTACCTCTTCATGTGATATATATATATATATATATATATATATATATATATATATATATATATATATGCATATATATATATATATATGTATGTATAATTTACCCCACTCTCCCTCTCCCTTCCTTCTTCTCCCAGTGCAGTCCCTCTTTCTTACCCCTTAATTTTTTTTCATATTATCCCATCAAAGTCAACTTGTACCCACACCCTCTGTCTATACCCCTTGTAACAGCTTTAATATAGAGTTCTCAAAAGTTACAAGTCTCATTTTCCCATGTAGGGATATAAGTAGTTTAACCTTATTGAATAACTTATGTTTTTTCTTTCCCATTTACCTTTTTTTGCTTCTCTTGAGTCTTGTATCTGAAGACTGAATTTTTGCTTAGTTCTGATCTTTTCATCAGGGATGTTTGAAAGTCCCCTATTTCAGTGAATGTCCATTTTCTTCCCCGGAAAGGTTATCTTCAGTTGTGCTGCATAGTTGATTCTTTGTTGTACTCCAAGCTCCTTTGCCTTCCAGAATATCATATTCCAAGCCCTCTAATACCTTAATGTAGCAGCTGCTAAATCTTGTGTAATCCTGACTGTAACTCCTCAATACCTGAATTGTTTCTTTCTGGGTGTCTATAGTATTTTCTCCTTGACCTGAGAGTTCTGGAATTTGGCTATAATATTCTTGGGAGTTTTTATTTCGAGATCTCTTTCAGGAGGTGATTGATGGATTCTTTCCATTACTATTTTACCCTCTGGTTTTAGGATATTGGAGAAGTTTCCCTTGATAATTTTTTGAAAGCTGCTACCCAGGCTTTTCTTTTGATCATGGCTTTAAGGTAGTCCAGTAATTCTTAAATTATCTCTCCTGGATCTATTTTCCAGGTCAGTTGTTTTTCTAATGTGGTATTTTACATTTTCTTCTATTTCTTCATTCTTTTGATTTTGTTTGATTCTTGATGTCTCAGAGTCATTAGCTTCCATTTGTCCAATTCTAATTTTTTCTTTTTTCTTTTTTGGGTGAGGCAATTGGGGTTAAGTGACTTGCCTAGCATCACACAGCTAGCAAGTGTCAAGTATATGATCTGAGAACTCAGGTCCTCCAGACTCCAGGGCCAGTGCTCTATCCACTGTGCCACCAATTCAGATTTTTAAGGAATTATTTTCTTTAGTTAGCTTTTATACCTCCTTTTCCATTTTGGACAATTCTACTTTTTTAAGGAGTTGTTTTTTTCCCATTTTTTTGCGCTTCTTTTTCCAAGCTGTTTTTTAGGATTCTCTTGCATAACTCATTTCTTTTCCCAATTTTTATTCTATCTCTTGTATATGTTTTAAAAAATCCTTTTTGAACTCTTCTAGGAGGACTTTTGAGCCTGAGACAAATTCATATTTCTTTCTGAGGCTTTGATTTTGGCATTCTGACACTCCTCTGAGTTTGTATTTTGATCTTGCCTGTAGCCTGTAGCTTTCTATAGTCGTAGCTTTTTTGTTTGTTTTTTGCTCATTTTCCAGCCTATTTCATGACTTTTAAACTTGAGCTCTGTTCCTAAGGTACAAGGGACACTATTCCAAGCTTCTTGCACTGGAGGTCAGGAGACTGCTCACTGGCTTTTCGTGCCAAGGCCTCTAGGGCTGGTAGCTCGCCTGCTGCACTGGGATTTCCTGGCCCAGTCTAGCTGACTGTGCCAGGGTCTCTGGGCCTGCCAGACCTGCTCACTAGCCTGCTGTCTTGAGACTGGAGTTCTCACAGCTGTGCCTGGTCTGTTGAGCTAAGACCATGGGGCCTCAGTTGCTGATCTCTATTGGGGATAGGGGCCTCCCACTGGCTTGTCCAGATACTGCCTGCACTGGGCACTCAAGTGAGACAGACCTTTCCTGCAGTCCTTCTAAGTTATCTCAGGCTGGAAAATTGTTTTACCCCATCCTTTTGTGGATCCTGTTGCTCCAGAATTCATTTTGAGGCATGATTTAAAGTTGTTTTGAGGGAAACTGGGGAAGCTCAGGCAACTTCCTGTCTTTTCTCTGCCACCTTGTCTTTACCTGTTTGGAATCCTTTCTTCCTTTTTCAGAGGAAAAGAATATGGTGCTTAGCAGGAGTTAATGATGATGATCTTCTAAAAATTTAATCTTCTGATTAAGCTCTTAAGGCTAAAAAGTAGTCTAGGGCACCTTAAGATTCAACCAAAACATTTAGTTCACATTTAGTGAATCTCTGGTTAGAGGTCAATCATCTGGCATGAGCAAAACTTACTAATACTGGGCTTTCTGAACTCATTTGATCAACAAATTATTAAGTAACTTAGGTACAAGGTACTGTGTTAGATACTGTGGGGGATACAAAATAGGACAGAAGGCACATATTCTAACTGATCTCTTCAAAATCAAGCCCCTTGGTGTTCTTTCCACTCCATTCATCCTGAATATGCTTCCAGATTAATCTTCTTAAAGTTGAATTCTTATCTTGACTTTTTACCTAAGAATTTATGATGACTTCCCATCACCTTTGAGTCTAGACTCCTCAGTGAGGTTTTTTAGGTCCACCATAATACGACTCCAATTTACCTTTCTGGCTTTTTTTCCTTTTAATTTACTATGTACTCTAGCCAGCTTTAACTTCTTTGCTGTTCCTTGAACAAGTTCCATACATTACTTACTTCATTTTTCTTGGCTTTTACCAATTCTTATGACTATAATGTTTTTCTTGCCTTTTTTTCCTTTACTATGAGCATATTTATTATGATCTTTTTAATCAGAATGGTCTGTAGTGAACTTCCATTTCAATGTAGGCCTTGGTCAAGTCAGTCTTATTAATGGAAGTTTCACTGAGGTAAACTCGTAAATGCAATACCCAACCAGAACAGCGAAACAGTGAAATCAAGTGATGTGTAGACATGATGGGAAAAGCCTTGAGCTAGGCAGACTGAAAAATACTTTAATGGGAAAATCCTTGATTTCAGTATCCTCAAGTGGTAAAATGTTTTGGTTTTTCCCCCCCCTCTTTACAGTGTACTGGCTGGCTGGGGTCCATATGTGCTTCACTATATGCTCAGTGATGTTTCTTCTCCCCATCATCCTCCTTGGGAGTCTGAAGCAGCAAACCAAAGCCGAATGACTGGTTCTCTCCTAAGTTGCCAGTGATGCTTGGCCATTTGTCAGAACTTTAGTCATCAGAACCAACATCTCGCTATACCTGAAGGAAGCATTTAAAGAGAAATTTGGAGTACTGGCATCAATGACTCAGAAATCTGCCATGAAATAGATTGATCCCAGCTGTTTCAATTTTCCTCATTGCTAAAGGATTGTCTTCTTCATATGTCATATGGATGGTATAGGCTTGATTTTGATGAAATTGAACATCAGTGACAAAAACTGACCATAGTCTGTAATATTGGGGATTTAGAAGCAGTGAGGTTGATATAAACCATTAAGTCATTTATAATACTATGCATTTTGCTACTCAGTCTCTGAGTCTGAGAATTTTATATTCTCAAGGCTTCTTGTGATTCTCAAGGTTATGGTGCCTTTACCTTTCTCCATGCTGGTCCATTTGCAGTGATGGTGACATCAACAATAAATGACTGCAGCCCACTGGGAAGGGTCTGGAGGGGTTTACTGGCCTCCAGGATAGGCTAGCAATCAGCTTTCTTTGTAGCCTTCATGGTACAACTGTTTTGGAAGCCACATAGACTTGGCTTCTAATGGTTGCTACCAAGAATGGGGATGAGTTGATTTTGCCTTTTCCTATAAACAAATTGAGCTGACCAATAGCAGCAGCACATTGGGAAAGGTAGTGGCTGCAAAATTGCCATGGTATGTAAACATAATATTTTTTATAATATGACCATCCTGGATATAGTTACTGAGAGTCATAGTGGAGTTTTGACAAACTATATATGACAGATTAAAGTTATTTTGCAAATTGATTTCTTTTAAATATGAAATGTTTATTTCAACTAAAGGCAACTAAGATGGGAATGGACATTGGTAGAACTGGAAATTATTTTTGCATTTTTACATTTATCTTATTACTTTATGAACCATGTAGAAACTGCCCTAGATTGTGGGAGTGTAGCTTACTCAATACCACACCCTGTTCACACCAGCTCCTGTTCACACCATCACTTATGGCTGATATCTGAGGCTCAGAAAGATTAAGTTTCTTGTTCTCAATATCTCAGAGTTAAGAATCCTGGTGTCTTCAAGTTCATTGACCTTCAAATGGGATCACATTACCTTCCAAGCTGCTTTAATTAATGGTGAGACTTGGGCTAGTTTCTTCCCCTGTCTGGGACTTAATTTCCTTTTCTCTCCTAGAAAGGGGTTGAGTTAAGCCTCAAAGTTGCTAGTTCTAAGATTCTGTAATTCCTGTGACAATGCTGAATGACCCAATATTTGCTCATTAGTGTGACTCTGGAGTCAGAGACCCTGGATTCAAATACTGCCTCATGTATTTACTCCCTGGGCATGTATTGTCTTGGGCAAGTAACTTAGCCTCCCTAGCTTTTAAATTCCTTTAATTCCCATAAAATTGAGGGAATTGATTAGATGGCCTCTGAGGTCCCTTCTGGCTCTAGATTTTTGATCCTGTTATTTCAGCAAGATACTGGATTAGTGCAGAAGTAATGGATAAGGCCTTGTTAAATCCCACTGAGGGAAAAAAAAACCACGAGGAAAATGTTCACATAAGATTTATGGTGTGGGAAGAACATCACTTTGAAATAAGAATTTACCTGTGTGTCTTCAGGCAAGTCACTTAATGTCTCTGGGCCTCAGTTCTGTTGTCACCTAAAAGAGATCAGGCTAGATCACAGGTTCCCCAACTTATTTGGTCCACCACTCCCTTTTGAAAAAATAAATTACTCAGCACCCCCCTGGAAAGCTTTAAACCTTTAACATTTCTGTGAAATTCGCATCATTTCAAAAACTAGAAAATATATATATATTTTTTAAAAATGACACATTAGGGCAGCTAGGTGGTGCAGTAGATAAAGCTCCAGCCTTGGAGTCAGGAGTACCTGAGTTCAAATCTGGTTTCAGATGCACAACACATGACACTTACTAGCTATATGACCCTGGGCAAGTTCACTTAACCCTGATTGCCTAGCAAAAAGCAACAACAACAAAACACACATCTTAAATTTAATAATTATAAATTTGTGGAGTTTTTTCTTGCACTGAAATTTTGATGATGCAATATTGCGTCATATAACCATATAGTATCATATTGTAAAGTAGTTATTACACGCATATATTTCTGCTGATGCATGCTGGACTTCCCAATAATGCGCAACACTCTTGCCTGCCAACACTTGCTTGTTAAGACCTGTTGGCAGACTTGACTACTGATTGGTTATAACTCACATTTTGTGTGTTTAATAGGAAAATAATGTAATCACTATAACTTTAACTGTTACACAACAGATGAAACATGTATGAACAGTTTTTCAAAATTTTCTTCGCTTTCTTTATGCTCCCACAGCCCCCTTATTTTTATTCAATGCCCCCTCCCAATTGTACCTGAGGCTACTACCCCTCTCCTGGATCATTCCAGCACCCCCTCCCCACCCCAGGGAGCAGTATCGCTCACTTAGGGAACCTCTGGGCTAGATGATAAAAGTCCTTTCAGGTTTAAAGCCTGTGACCATATGATTACTTTCCCTGGGATACAGAAGTGGGAGAGGTGGGGGACAGGGCCACAGGTGAGAGTAGCTCCAAGTGATTTGGAGGATATTAAATGGCTGTCTTCCATCTACATGAAATAGAAATAGTATCGTTGGATTAAGCTCTAGTAGGTGGGATCCTAAAGCCCTATGAACACTTGTGGCAGGAAGACTGTTACATCAGGCCATGGGACTGAGTTTCTCTGGGATCCTTTAGCAATACAGGAATGAATGCTTAATTTAGCTGGGTGCTTGCTGATTGTGAGCCAAAGTGAGGTAGCATACCTTTCATATCCATTTACAGTCTAAGAGCTCAGCACCAACAATGCAGTCTCTTAGGACACTGATCAATTAATCAGTTATTGAGTGCCTGCTATGTGCCAGCTGTGGATAGAAACACAGAAATGAAACAGTCCCTTCTCTCAAAGAGCTTACATACTCTTAAGGGGAGATAACATGTGTACATCTAAGTTTTGGAGAAGGTACTTGCAGTTGGGAGATCAGGGAAGAACTCATGTAGGAGATATTATCTGAGTTATGCCTTGAAAGAAACCCTAGTGCTTCTAAGAGGTGAAGTGAAGAAGCAAGAGAATCCCCAGAAAGGGGAAGAGGCTGTGTGAACAAGGCACAGAGGGGGAGACTGAACATCACGGGTGGGAAAAATGACAAACAGGCCAGTTTAGCTAGAGCCCTGAGTGAAGGAAGGAGTAGGGAAGAATAAATCCAGAAAAGGTAGAGAAGGGCATCCATCCAATCATCAGTAGAGCTTGATTCAACTTCTATGGAACAAACAGGTTTTGAATCTACACACAAATCTCTGCTCTTCCAAAAGGGCCAGCATTTGCATGAGCAAGACACTACCATGAGCAAGATGGCTGCTCACATTTCTATGGTGCTTAGGTTCTACAGTGCCTGACAGTGCTTAAAGCAATTTTTTCACATCCTTGTGTGGCACATAGCAGGCACTACTTACTTAAAGTAGCATCATCCACATTTTATAGATGAAGAAACAGGCTCCAAGGCCAAGTGGATTCAAATGTGGGTCGCCTGGCCCTACAATAGGGATTTTAGATCTGATAACTGTTAGCATTTAACAGTGTTTCCTATGTGCCAGAGACTGTGCTAAGTGCTTTACAAATATGATCTCATTTGGTCCACACAACAACCCTGGGAGTTAGGTGCTGTTATGAGCCCTACTTTATAGATCTGGAAACTGAGACAAAGGCAGAGTTTTGTCCAAGGTCACACAAGAAGTGTCTGAGGTCAGATTTGAACTCATCTTACCTTGACTCTAGGGCCAGCATTTTATCCAATATGCCACCTACCTGCCCCTATAGAATTCAGGAGGTCTGTGGACTTGGATGGGGGGGGGGGGAAATTACATCATTATTTTCACCATTTGCTGAAATTTAGCATTTCCTTTAATTATCTAAAAAATATCATTCAGAGATGGGGTCCACAGGCTCTGCTAGCCTGCCAAAGGGTCATCCATGACATAAGGTGAAGAATCCCTGCTTGAGACTTTCCTATGTGTAAGAGGATGAGCAAGGGAAGAAAATGCAAATGGGCTAAATGTTCTAAAGACATGTAACAGGCAGGCAGACAGGGGACTGAGGAGCCTATCCTGACTCAGTGCATTGGTGGGGATAGGATCTCTGAGCTTCCATTTCCTCATCTGCAAATGGAGGTAATTTATGTCTCACTTCTCTCCTCACAGGGTTAGTATAAGGAAAGGGCTTTGATTAATCATTGTGGGTGAAGTGTTGGTGAAATTACTTATAATAAGCTGTTACTATGGGCTGCCAGTTTTTATGACAGAAAACCTGTGTTTGAACTCCAGCTTTGCCATTATCTGGATGATACAATTTGTGTGACCTCTGACAAATCTTGTAACCTAAAACTTGATTTTCTCATTTGTGAAATGAACACAGAGTTGTTGTGTGGGTTAAATGAGATGACGTAAAGTAAACCTGAGAGTGCTATTTATACAAAACAGAGAAGTCACATCATTATACTCTTCCATTAAAACCCTACTCTGATGTCTTTACTGTGGTGGTGGTAGTGGTGGAGGTGGATCCTGGGCTCTTGAAGTTTGTCAATGAAGCACAGTGTCTTGCAGGTGGCAAGCCTGGTGATGATTTGTGCACCAACCTCGCCAAAGTCACAGGGACTCATTGGCTGCAAGGTGAGCAGCAATTAAAGAACATTTACTAAGTTGAAGAACTGTGATCTGCATTAATGGAAAAGGACTCACAGCAAAGAAATGAAAACTCCAATAATAATAATAATAATAATAATAATAATGATAATAATCTTAATAATAGTTGTTTTACTATATTAAGAAAACAAACCTCTTCCTATCCATTGGGATGAAAGTAAGACATACCATGCTGGTCTCAAATTATTACAGGAAAAATGACTGATGTGATTGTAGAAGACTGCTTTCTAAGAAGCATCAATTAAAAATTCTCTTTTTCAGGGATGGTGAAGAGCTAGAGGGAAAATATCATACCAAGCACAGTGGCTCCCTTTAGTCTACAGCTACCACCAACTGCAGTTAGTGCTTTAAAAGGATGAGGTTTGTTTTCTCTTTCAGAATAAATAAGACAAAGGAAGGTCTCTTGATATGGATTCTCTGTAAGGACTTGTGGAACAAGGACAAGAATCACACAGGATGACTGCAATCTGTATCAGTAAAGGTAATATGAAAAAAATGAAACCACAAATCCAATGATGTGGTGGAGCAAAGAATATAAAATGTAAACTTTTCAAAATAAAATACAATTTTTGATGGAATGAAATTGGTGGAGTAACATCCAAACTGTTCCCCAGATTTCAGACACTGAGACTGTTTAAAGAGGAATTTATTAATGAGTAAAACAATGTTACAATGAAGAAAGAAAAACACAGGACCTATCTTCCGAAGTTTATAGCCACATATGCAACTACATCTCATACTGTAATACAAAGAATTAAAAGAATAAACTACAAAATTGGAAATTAAGTCATTGCATATGTGGAAAGAGAGAAATGGAAAGATCCATTATTAATTAAAACAGAGTGATGGTGAACTGTAATTACGATTGGCAATAAAACACAATTCAGCAAAAGAAGGTAAGTCAGCTTTCTAGTGTACGTAAGACATACAAGGTTAGGATACAAGCTCAAAGCCATTAGTGCCATGCAGTCTGCTCTAAACGTTACTGTTTAGGTGTCTCTCTTATGCAGTGATTTGCTGTGACGTCTAGCCCCACCCTACACCTACCCATTTCAAACAACAGCTATCCAATATTTACCTGGTATTCTTTCCACTGCTAACCCTACTTTTCCTTGCAATTCCACAATGCTAACATCAGCTCTCTTGTCCCTCTCTGAACTGCCATAGTTGTATGTGAGGCCAAATACTGCTTTACACTGATGAGGTGGCCATATTGCATGACTGAATCAGTTCTATGGTTTGGGGATTTTTATACTGCATCAATGGTAAAGCATTTGATAATTTCCATTTTTGAAACTGTGAAGCAGGCTTGGGACAAGACAATTTATTTCTAGTTATCAAGCAATATAATTATGTCATTCTGCAAGGGGAATGAGTTATGTGGACCATCTTATGTAGGTAACTACATAGGGAAAAACTGTTTTTTGAGCTCTTGAGCAGAACATTCAAAAGTGAGCTCTGGATGCAAGATGTCAAATTACGATCATTATAATTAGTTTAACTGTTTTCATAACCCTGAAATTTTTAAAGTTGTAATTTGCTATGTGAAGACAGGAACAAATCTGAAAATACCCTAAAATTTCACAAAAACTAACTCAAATAGTTAACCTTGCACTCTCTACAGTCTAATGTAAGAAAAGAGTATTTCTGACAGAATAAAACTGAAAAAAGTTGGTCTATTAAAAAAGGAATGTTCAGAATTGGAAAGGAGGTTTGAACTGCAAATTCACAGGAAATTCCAGCAAATACTCTCCTCCTCCCCCCAATGCTTCCCCCCATAAGATTTTGGGCACCCTAATGGATAAGATGCCAGGTATTACCAAATTCATGTTTGGGGCTGAAGGAGAAAACATAATCACATTAGTGAGCCACACAGGATGGATACAGGTTTACACCTGCCACTCATCAAACGTCTTCTGTATAGTATGTCAAACCAACTCTTAAGTGTAATCTCTAGGTATGTCTTCTCCAGCAGAGACGGTTTCAATTTTGGTTTTGTATCTACAGCACTTGGTAACAGTGCTTGGTATGTAACAGATACTTAATAAATGCTTGGTGATGGACAGACTGATGGAGGTGTGAGTTGTCCATCTCTAACGTGAACACTCTAAGGTAGCTGTGGTTTCCAGAACATCTAATTCAAAGACTAACCTTTTTGCCTATCCTTTTAGAGGGCTGCTTAAGCTAGGTTTTGTGGGATCAATTACTATTTTTAATTAGCCAAGTCGAGGTTCTCTGAATATACTGTGCAGCAGCAAACACCTTCAGCTCAGTCATGTGAGACAACAAAGGGTTAAGCAGAAGCCTAGCGGTGAAAGAGGCAAGCTTACTTTATTTAAAACTTCTGTAGGAGGGGATGCAAGATGGGAGGGAGGTTGCCAAAGCCTTGTGTAGAGCACGATCTATAACCACAGCTAGTTTGCAGAAGCACAAAATCTCATTCTGTTCAGGAGTATATTCTTTCTGAAAACACAACAGTAAAGATTCTTAAACACACCTGCTGTGACTTAGGAGCACAGTATTAGAGAGCACAACTTCTGAGGGTTAGCACAGTTTGTGACTGTGGCCTACATTGCTAAAAATTCTTGGGGGAGAGCTTTTCCTCTTAACACAGTGGTTCCAAGTCTTCTACATAAAGACTTTAAAGTTGTGTACCAGTTGGGAACAGATCTGAAGTTAGCTGCTAAGAACTTAGGGTTAGCACCTTTCTGCAAGTTAGTTAATTTGCTGTTAAAAACTATACCCTGGGAGCTTTGCCTAGGGTGGCTAGCTGGTTTCGTTTCTGCATTCCATTACAACATAAGACAAAACACTCAGTACAATCACATACGTCCTAGTGGTTAATGAAGTATTGGGGATTTTAAAACATGACAGTGTTTCTGCGGCGCGCGGGGCCATTAGGAGTCACTTTTCTTTTTGCTCTTCTTCAGAAAGGAAGGAGTACGGAACTTCTTTTTCTTTTTGGAGGGGGACTTCCCAGGGGATTCATCACTCCCGGGGTCTGCGGCCATTCCCTCCTCAGCAGTTGGTGTGGTGGCCTCTTCAGCAGGGGGAGATGGGGTTTCTGGATTTTCTGTAGCAGGTAATTCAGTCTGGCTTTGGATGTGAACTTCATCACGTCTACTTTCCTCCTCCTCTTTCTCAAGTGGTGGGAAGCTAAGTGCTTCTGAAGGCTCATCAGGGGAGAGGTCTGGAAGGGTTTGCTTGAAGGTTGCAGCATCACTGTCATCTCTGTAAGTCTGGTCCTGCTGTGTGTCTAATGGATGTAAGAGTAAAACAAACTATTGAGTTATGAAGAGTGACTCGATTTGGACTTTTAAAAGTGTCACTTCTAAGATGAGAAATACTTTTAATATGAAGATAACATTTTTACTGACATGATATTAAAATAACTTTAAAAAATTCTATTTCTATTTTATGGCTGACTGCAACAGAATAACAGAATGTAAAAAAACAGTTTCAATGAAAGGTTTGTTTTTTTTTTAACTGCCTGCCACTGGATAGTGTACTGACAAAAATGAGAATCAGCAGAGGCCTCTAAATCATTAAGTCAATGTGAATGTAAGGAAAAGGAGAGGAAGTTTTAAGCAATGACTATGGAATAAAGACACATGGCATCAACTCCCATAAAAGCCTCTTACAACGAAAAGGAAGCATGGCACGATGCATAGCTGGCCTTGGAATCAGGAAGACTTCGAGTCGAATCCTGTCTCAGGTACACACTGGCTGTGTGACCATAGGCAACTCACCTAGACTCTCAGGACCCCTAGGCAATCCTCTAAAACTATAAACTGGACAACAAATGACTATCTGTAATAGTTTAGGTAGTATCATTTTTGAGAGTTCCCTCCACCAATGAAATCACAGGTCTGTTTAAAAAAAAATCACACTTTGTAGATTCATGGTTATGAGTATTCCTAAAACTGAGTACTACTCTGAGCCTGTAATATTTGGTTTCCCACTGGATGACCAGCCAAAGCAGCCTGAGTTTAGCTGTCCAACATCAACATCAAAGGCAAGAAAAGGTTTTGAGTCTTATAAGAACTACTGCTACATGGAGTAGGAGGTGGAAGTGATTTTTTTAAATGGGAGAAAGAAGGAGTCAATTTCTCTTATATATTTGAACAACTCCATATTACATGACCAAAAGAATATGTTTCAAAAAAAGGTAACTTGTTTAAATAAAAGCCTGTGTGTTTGATTCCCTTAGTGTATCAAGCTAAAAAGTTGCCACTTCTCATCTTGTACAGTAAGCCTGTGGAAAACAAGTTCTGAGGAATTTTTGTAAGAAACTATAAAGTTATGAACAACTGGCATATTAGTGAACACCAACCATTTAGCATTCAAAATCAAGCCAAAAGTTAGAATGGGTAAGTGATGAATAGTTGGGAGTTAAGCCTTAAATAAGGATTAATCTGTAGTAGACTTCAAAAAGCAGCAAAAGGACAGTATTGGTTAAAAGTTGCCTTAGGAGGTTCTAGTCCAACAAACCCTTTAGCACTCATTTTAGAAATACGTGGATTATAATGCAAAATTGCAATTGTCCTCTTAATTATTATACATAGTATTAAATGCTTTCTGCTGGTTACAGCAGTGAAAGGGACTCCAGTGCATACACCATACCCTTCCTAATCTTTAAGGAGTAGGATTCATTTGGCAGAGATGACACAAGCTTGCAGCAATGTTACTTTTCAAATAGGTATGTGCTCATTGATATTTGGAAGAACTATCATTTTACCAAATGTCATAGTTCAAAAATAAAACCACATGTAATTTATCTGTTAGTCCAGAAGTACTATTAATTCCAGTTTAACTCAATAATTCAGAAAATATCAACTCACTGGGCACCAGAGCAACTAACTTTCTTCATTCTTTCTTTTCTTTTCTTTTTTTTTTTAGCAACTAACTTTCAATGCTAGGTTAAGATAGAAAAATACTGCCAATAAAATAAATGGTAGATGTCAAAGATTCCTGATTTTCTCTTTAGTTAAAATTTAGCAAAATATCCCCTTAAGAGTGGAAAGTTGAAGAACATGAGAACAATGAAACTTCTCTGATCTTCTGGAATTCATTTGAGTACACAATCTGTCATGAATGCTCTGGTTTGCTTGGCAATACATACATGTGGGGAAATGTCTCAAGTATTCCTTTCAAGGGTCTGCTTTCAACTGTACTGCACACATCAGATGTCACTCAATCACAGGTGACAAGAGATCTAGAATTCCAAGAAGGCAACCTTGTAAAGAAAATTAGTGTCTTTCTCCAAGTGCAAAAAAAGAGAGCCTTTTTGCTTTTTTCCAAAGGAAAAAAAAAGAAAACAGGAAACAATACTCCATAAAAAAACAAGGACGCAGGAGAATGAAGCAAAGCACATAGAATTCCAGTTAAGAAGCAGAAACAGATCAGATTATGGGATGATACTTACTATGGTAACAGGTACTCTTTAGCATATCCATCTCCTGTTTGTAACGCAGCCACAAGAAGAGAAAAGCACAAGTAGAAAAATCTAGGCATTCAATCACGGCCATTGTGTTAAAGTAAAAGAATGGTGGATGCCATTCTTAGAGGGCAAAGAATGGGATGAAGAAGTGAACTCAAGACTTGTAAAACAGACAAGTGATATACCCCAATATACGAGGAGAAAAAGGACACAGACAAATTAGATTACACCCACTTAACAGACACAAGGCTAAAACAGAAGAGCTACAGCTTTTACAGCAGCTCTCAAAAAATGCGATGAAGGACTAGTGTACTTTGAGTGATGCTACTAGAGCAAATCAAATTAAAAAACCCAGATGCCAAATAGGATGGATAGCATTTGTCCCCGAGGTGTAATCTAAACACAATAAAGTTGAAGAAATGTGCAATTAGTGGGCAGGATTGGCTATATTCAAAAGTTAGGGTGAGGGTGATTCAGGGAAGCTCGGTCTCCTAGTTCAACACAACATTTAACTAAAGGAACTGGCTTCATCTGAAACCACCCAGAGCAGAACTAAAGGGAACAGTAAGAGGTACCTGCAGTCTTGCAGTTGTGGTAACAATCTTGGTGATGATGCACACTTCTTGATTATTGTTAATGGAACTGTTGCCACATCAGTAACATTTTTCTTCAGCCAAAACAAAATTCATTCCTCTTGATGCCACAAATAGAGTCCACAGTCTTTCATGCATCATACCACACTGGTGCAGTTCCAGCAGACATGGTCCTCCCACCCACCCTTCTGACCCCAAATAACTTACCTTCCTCAAGTTTCACTGGTGTGCTGGGTGGAGTGTGGGCATCAGCATGGTCCAGAGGGCTCCCTTCTTTTTGTTGTTGTGTCACTTCCACATTTTCTATACAGGTATGGAAATTAGGATCAAATTAGATGAGATATCATTAGGACTTTAGAAGAGATGTTTCAACATCACTTTAGCAGGATTTTTTTTTCTGAATTTGCATTCCTATCCATTGCCATGCAATTCTAAGCAAGCAAAAGCAGCAGTATATACAAGAGGAGCAACCATAACCTTCAGGTACTCTGTGATCTAGATTTCGTAAGGAATATTTATCCAGACATTCCACATTGAAAAATATTAGTTTCCTTTAACTTCTTTTCTTATTCCAAAAAAGAGGCATTGTTTCAAATTTCAGCTCCCTTGCCTTTAAAGATGTAATCCAATGTCCATTAAGGAGATAACAGAAGATAAAGAATAAGCTGAAACATCCTACCTCATGTACTCTTCCAGATGAACAAATTCGTTACCCTTCTCAGAAAACACGGGCTCATAAAGACTAACCTTCTGTACTTCAGATAGAAACTGTAAAGTTTCATGACTACTACGAGTGTCTAATTTACTTGGTACGTAGGTTTATAAAGTGCTTTCCTCCAAACATCCCTATCAAATACATAGTTCAAGTTTCATTATGGCCATTTATAGATAAGTTTATAAACTGAGGCTTAAAAAAGTTAAGTGACTTACCCATAGTTAGAAGGTGGTGGAACCAGGAACCTGGGTTTCCCTTCCCACTATATCAAATTTTGGTTTTTACTTCTTTGTGCTGGTTTACAATCCACATATAAGCTACTGTCTATGAACAATCTTACATAACTTTATTAACTGCTCTTTCTGCCCCTGGGCCCCACTGCTGCCTACCTGAAAAGGACAAATAGGACTCCTGGCCACAGGAAAAAAATAGGATGTTGACAGACCAAGTGTCTGGGAAATTCAAACTTCTTTGTTTGGAAAGAAATAATAACTAAAAACCTTTCAATAAAGGTTTTAGGTTTTTGTTGTTCATTTGAATAGCTTACTAGCACCGAGTACTTCTGTGAGAGATATTGTAGAAGGGATTCATGGATGACTTAGACAAGGGGGTTGGGCTGTATAGCCCTTCCAAATCAAAGCCTATGTAATCACTGGGCATAATGAGCTGCTGAACTGCAACTTTATCACGTCTCAATTCTTACTGCTATCTACACATGGTAGATGCTCAATAAATAGTCTATGAATTATTTTCTGAATGACATCAATTTGCTGTCTAGGAGAGGTAAGAGTTTTCTTAAAAGAACTAAATAAATTCCAAGAAAACTATATTACGATGGAGGAAATATATACCATCATTCATTTCTCACTGGAAAATACTATATTATGAGAAAATGGGGTATAAGTTTACATTTGATAGTAATTTTGCTTGCTTTGAACTGACATGCAAATCATGGGATTTTATTGAACAAAAAGGCATATTAGGCTAACATGGCATGCAGTGATGGGCACAGATTCCAATAATTTAGGATTTTTTTTTAACAATAGCAGTTACATAATAAAGAAGTGAAGGTTAGTCTAAAACAGGAACAAAAAAAATTAAAACTATATAAAGATTTCCTCAGCAGTAGAAAGCCATTCCCAGATAATACCCCCCAACCCAAAATCTCCACCAATCAAAGAATTTGCTCATTAACCCCACAGGTAATAAATCAAGCCAGTCTGAAGACTTCTATAGACAGCAGAGACACGTGGAGGTTCCAGGCAGGGAGATTAAGGGAGTGGTTATCCAAACTCAGTACCTGAGCTTTCAGTAAAAAGATCGGGGTTGGAGTTTAATGCTTTGATGACTGCAATGTGAAATTCCTTGTGGGAGGACCGCAGTTCCTCAGACTCTTTCAGGTGAAGGCAGGGGGTTATCTGCTGCACAACTGAACAAGACATCCATGCAGCAGTGAACTCAGTGGTTAGAAAAAGACTGAGACACACTTGGCACCTTCACCGATGTAAATGAGTTGTGCTTGTTTGTTTCCTAGTCCCTGAAGTTCTTTTGATTTGCTTTTCCAGTCTGGAGAGTTCTTTTATCTATTTGAAATAACTTGTTCCTCACAATTCAATTCTGACTCTTAGTCATTTATTAGTCTTAGTGTGGCACTATTTTTATGGTGTTTTTTTGGGGGGGGTTGGGCAATGGGGGTTAAGTGACTTGCCCAGGGTCACACAGCTTGTAAGTGTTGTGTGTCTGAGGCCAGATTTGAACTCAGGTCCTCCTGAATCCAAGGCTGGTGCTTTACCCACTATGCCACCTAGCTGCCCCCCTGGCACTATTTTTATGATAGTGCCCACAAACTAGGGTAATATTAGAATCCTACAGAATTCCAAGGCATTAGAACACCATCAACAACTATTCAAAAGAGTAGCAGAAGCTAATAATACGGACTTATTAGTTCATATTCCAAAGATCTGAAATTTGTTATAAACTTCACCAGGATCCTGACTAAATTTATTTTTCAAAAGATATGCTAAGTAAGTCAATAGCACAAAAAAGATCAGACAGAATGTTAAGCTCATTTAGATTAAATTGTTCTCAGAGTCATCAGAAACATTCCCTTGGACGCTGTGCCTCAGTAGAAGCATAGTGCACAAGAAAAACAGCACCAGGTGTGGATGAGAAACTGGGTTTGGGGGTGGGGGTTGGGGAACAGCTTGTCCCAGGTTTAGAACATGACTGGTGGCAGAGCTGAACAGGAGTCTAGGCCTCCTTACCGCTAGTCCACTGCTCTTTCCCTAGAGTTACAGTCCTACGTGAAAGTACTAAGAGCTGTCTATAATGTTCTGACTGATATTCTCCCCAATTATGACTCAACTAGTAATTTATGGTAGGACTGTTCTAATCATCTGACAAAGTCACCAAGAACTGAAGCCTGGCTGACACAATAAATGCTGTGATTGTTAAACCCTCTGCCAGGTGGGACAGCTTCAGAAAAACTCAGTGGCTGTTTCAGAGTGCTCCAGAGAGCCCTTACCTTAGAGCTGCAGAAAACATCCCAAAGCACCAGCCTATCCTATCTCTTCTTCCTCTCCAACCCATTCATCTCCTTTCTTCTCCCATTTGCCCACTCTTTTTCCCCCTTTCACCCTCTCTTTTGTCTCTGCTTCAGAGTCAGCCATGGTGCCTGAAGGCATTGCTTAGTTATGATGGCAGCAGTAAGCCCTTTAACAAGATTACCAAAAATTATCAGCAAAACTCATACTACAAAGAACTAAAAGAAAAAAAAGAACAACAAAAAAAGGTAAATTCCATATTTCTCCTGGACACTTCCAAATAAATTTTTTTTTTACAAAAATAGCAATTGCCTTCACTATTATCTTTGACTAGGGATGACATCCCCCTCTTTCTGCACTCGTTGTATCATGTTCTGACTTGTAGTTATTTGTGTACATGTCATGTCTCTCCTACTAGACCGCACACTCCATGAGGACAGGGATCACATTCTATTGTGCTTTGTATCCTCCCACCTCACACACAGTCACCCAGCATAGGGCCTTAGTAATCATTTAGCTGAATTTTACAAGAAGTGCTCGAACCTTCTGGGCCCTTCTGTTTCCGTTCCACTTCTCTGCGATACTCTTCCAGCTCTCGGTCGGTGAGCTTGTTGAAGGGGTTCGGTCCTGCTGTGCTCACTATGACTCGTGGTTGGTACTCCTTTTCAATAATAGCCTTTGAAGCAGTCACCAGTTCCCCCTAATAAAATGCAACAACAAAATGTCTGCTATAAAGCCAAAATGTATTTAGAAGCTACTTAACCTTGACAATGGGTCGGGAAATAGGGGGGAAAAAACCAACGAAATTCTCAGATTAATCGAAATTAATCCTAGAAGTGCTGCATTTGTTTATTCTTAGGGTCAGCAGCATTCTCAGTGTTGAAAACTTTAGACATTGTTCCACTGGCACAAAATGAATTTAACTGTAAAAAACTCAGGTATCAGAAGCCAGAGGCTATAAAGAATGCAAAACACCAAATCAGTTTGTATTGCTTTTAATGGAAACAAATTCAAGTTTCCAAATTTACTCATAAAGATGAAAAATAGATACATTACCTTCTTTAGACCATGAAAAGTATCATGAATTCTTATCTTTAATTAGAATAAAATATGCTCTGAGATGTTTTACACTCAGAAGAACAAAGATAAATTCTGCTTTTCCCTATGCATTTAGACAGTTTTAGCCTATCTGCTGATCCTTAATTCCTCCCAAAAATGCAGAGAAAAGGAAAATGTAAATGCCAGGTATATGCTTTAACTTGGAGACTCACCCTGGGAATTTTAAAGATGAAAGTACAATTCCCTCCAAATGCTAAAATAATCTTTTTGTTATCAATTTCAGAGAGAAATCAATGGCAAGGTAAATAGAAAATGGGACTATCTATAACTCTTATAATTAGTGTGAATGACAGGTCAATGTTGGTAAACACCTCTTTTGGGAGAGCCACGGTCCCAGGAATACTTAATTATCAGGGAACTCCACATTGCTTTGATGGACCATGACACTTCCCTTCAGCCCATGTTGTTTGGGGCCAGGGCTTACTAAATATTTGTTGTATGTGAATCTTGTTAAAAATCCAAAGCAGAACTGAAATATAGAAATCAAAGTAATTTTGGATTCTAGTTCTAAGGGAATAATCACATCTAAGAACCTGTATGTAAAAGTCAATAATATAGATTGGATCTTCTTAATGCATTTTGATAGATAATGGTGCCAATTATATCACGGTATAAGAGAAAAAACATAGGTCTTGCAGCCAAAAGACCTATGTGGTTCTGACACTGTCTAGTCATGTGACCCTGGACAAGTATTTTTACTGCTTCTATGCTTGCAATTTTCTCACCTGTAAAATGGGGATTAACTTATACTGTCTGCCTATAGGGCTGATGTGAACTAAATAATTTATAAGCCTTAAAGAGTTATATAGATGTGAGCTATCATCATTATTATTATTGTTCCAAACACGACACAGGGAAACTGTTTCTGTTGCCAGCTAGACATCTCAGCAAAATTGAATCGGAAGGGCCAGTGAACACAAAATTTCAAGACAGGTGAGATGAAGGAAAGGAGATCTATTTTTCTCATTGTCCATGGGCTCTCCCAGACAATTTCTAATTGAAATAAATGAATTTTTCTGAAAAGAAGGTTAAAGAACAGAAAGAGAAAGGGCACATCTCTTATTGTAGGGGTAGTCTCACTATGGTTGAAGCTTATCCGGATTACTGTGCTCAGAGCCAGGCACCATATTTTAAGGGGGACATTAATAAGCTGGAGAGTATCCATAAGGTGGTAACTAGAATGGCTGAAGGTCTTAAGATCATGCCACACAAAGACTGGCACTGGGAACAGCCTGAAAACTGAAAGACTTGGACAAAGGAAAGGGGGGGTGGCAACAGCCTGAAATGAGAAATGTCTTCAAGTATTTAAAGGAGTATCATGGGGAAGAAGGATTAGAACTGTTCTTGTTGGCCCCAAAAGGACAAACTAAGAATAATGGATAAAAGGAAAAACTTTCTAACAATTACAACTATCTAAACAATGAATCAGTTGGTAACCTTGAGAAGATGCTGGGTTTTTCCCTACTCTAAGTCTTAAAGCAAATGCTGGATGACTACTGGGAATGCTGTATAGGGATTATTGTTCAGATATGGAGTGGACTAGATCACTTCTGAGGGCCTTTCAGATTTAGATTCTAGGATTCCATGTGAAGGTTGAGATGTGAGAAGAGAAAGGGCGTATGAAGTAAACAACTGGCAATGCTAATGGTGGCTAAGAAAAGGATTTAGTTTTCTGGAACATACTTTTAGATGACAGAAAAATTGGTTCTGGGTCAGTCTATTTGTTTCCTTAGGATTCACAGATTCCCAGACTTTCAAGGGCCAGAGACTTGCTGATCTGATTAAGAGGATTTTAAATTGAAAATGGAGGAAGGATACAAAATGTAAAATTAAATGTCAAGGAAGACATCAAGTATGTTATAGAAAGAACAGTGGAGAAAGTTCCTAATCAATTTCCAGGAAGAAATAACGGGAAAAAGGTTGAGTACATTAGTTACGAATGTCTACAGGTCAAGGCACTATGGATCCCAAAATGAATCAACTTAAAATTTTAAACTGAAGGATATAAGTAGCAGAGCTGGGGATTTCAAACCAGGCCCTCGGATTCTTTCCACTGTACTATACTTTGGAGATGATCTGATATCCCAGCAACCTTCTAAAATCGCACTAGTGTAATTCAATAATCTCCAAGATCATACATTTAGTAAATAGTAGAACTAGAATTCAGGGATGGGAGGTAGTCTACGGGAAGGCAGAGATGGAAATGAAAATGCAAAGTCATGAAACAACTATTAATTCAGTTTGGCTGGAACAGAATGCATGTGAAAGATATAGTCTTAAGTCAGATTATGGAAAGCTTTAAATACCAGGCTGAGGAGTTTATTCAGGAGGTGATTCCTGTGGGCACAAGTAATATTGATGTAAAGAATCTAGAAAGCACCACTAAAGATTACAAAGTCTCAGGAAAGAAAGACCTTGGTGAAAAGGTAGTATTTGAGCACTGCTGCCTATCAAAGGCAAGGAATTCAGAAGAAGAAGATAGATCTGGGAAGCATATGGGTTAGATAGGATGTTGACTGAGAATGGGATTTGAATTTCTAAATAAGTGAATGACAGACTATTGGCTAGGGATAGAGTACATGTAACATGGATTAGTAAGAATATATCTGTCTGGATTTTTGCAAATATAGTCAAAAGAGCTTTAAACTGAAAAGGGGAGGAGAAAGAAAATATAGGCATATACATCAAGCTAGATACAATAGAATAACTAATAAAGTAGGAAGATTAGCAGTGGATAGGAGTCTACAGGAGACCAAATCCAAGAAAGGTTTCAGTAAATAAAACTCAAGGCCACAGGCATCTACACACAAATACAGATGGTATTGCTAATAAGCAATAAGTCATCATAGTGCAATGGAAAAGAGTAACAGCTCTGAGTCAGGGGACCTAGGTTTGAATCTTGGCTCTGTCACTATTGTGTAACCTTAGGCAAGTCACTTAATGTCTCTGGGTCTCAGTTTCTTATCTGTAACATGAAGGGGAGCTGGACCAGATGATGTCTAATTTCCCATCTCTCCTCCCTTTTGTGGCTAAACTCCTTGAAGAGGTCTTCTATAATCAGTGTCTCCACTTCCTTTCCTCTCACTCTCTTCTTAACTCTCTGCTTCCTGGCTTCTGACCTCATCATTCAACTGAACTGTTCTCCAAAGTTAGCAATGATCTCTTAATTGCCAAAGTGAATGGCCTTTTAGAATACTCATACTTCTTAACCTCTCTGCAGCTTCTGACACTATTGTTCATCCTCTTCTCTTTGATACTTTTTTTCCATCTAGGTTTTCATGAAAATACATTGTCCTGGTTCTTCTCCTACTTGTCTGACCACTCCTTTTCTGTAGAAAAGGTTCTTCATCCACATCGTGTCTGACAGCTAAAGGGGTCTTTCAAAGCTCTGTTCTAGGCCTCCTTACTTCTCCCTTTAAACTATTTTGCTTGGTGATCTCATCAGCTCCCATAGACTCCATTATTATCTCTGTGTTTTTATCCAGTACTGACTTTTATGCTGACCTCCAGTCTCACATCTCCAACTGACCACTGAGACATCTCAAACTGGATATCCTGTAAACATCTTAAACTCAATGTGTCCAAAACTGAATTCATTATCTTTCCACCCCAAGCCCTTCCCCTTTCCAAACTTCTGTATTACTGTTGAGGGTACCACTATCTTTCCAGTTCCCCAGGCTCACATGCCCAACTCCTCATTCTCTCTCATCCCCCATATCCAATCTGTTGCCAAACAAGTCCTATCAATTCTACCTTCACAACATCTCTTCACAACCCCTTTCTCTCCTGTTTCACTGCCACAATCCTCATGCAGATCTTCATCACTTTACATCTGGGCTACTACAATACCCTGCTTCACCTCACTCCCCACTCCAGTCATCCTCTACTCAGAAATATCTTCTTAAAGTGAAGGTATGATCCCTTCTTCCCCTGCCCCATTCCACAAACTCTGACAGTTCCCTATTACCTCTAGGATCAAATATAAAATCCTCTGCTTGATGTTTAAAACCACTTCTTACCTTTCTAGTCTTTTTGCACCTTATTCATTCCCATGTTCTCTGAACTCTGGCAACACTGGCCTCCTTGTGTTTCCTTGTACAAGAAACTCCACATCCCCATTCTAGATATTTTCACTGGCTGTCTGCCATGCCTGGAACTTTCTCCCTCCTCATCTCCATATCTTGTTCTCCCCAGCTTCCTTCAAGACCTAGCTAAAATCCTACCTGCCTGTAGGGCAGGATAGACCTTCTGCAAAAGGCTTTTCCTTATCCTCTTAAGACTAGTGCCTTCTCATGCAATTCTCATGCAACTGGGAAATAAGAAATACAGGAAATGGGGTATAGAAATCTATCCTGCCCTACAGGAAAATAGAAGGGGAAGGGAATAAGAGAAGTGGGGGAGAGATAGAAGGGAGGGCAGATTAGGGGAAGGGGTATACTGAATACATGCCATCTTGGGGTGGGGGGAGGGATGAGATGGGTAGAAAATCTGGAACTCAAAATCTTGTGGAAGTAAATGTTGAAAACTAAAAATTTTTTAACAAAGACTAGTGCCTTCTCTTTATTGATTATCTCCATTTTA